TCACGAATCAATTTTTGTGTGTATTCCATTAATCATGCTCTATTTTTTAGTACAAATTTATGTTTATGACCAAGTGGGATGGATATATCTCAGGAATGCAAGGTTGGTTGCACCGTAAACTCCTGACAATTAACTTTTTTTATTGTAAGTGCCTGACATTGAGCTTTTGGTTGCTGAGGCATCCACTTCAAAGACATTTATCTAGAAGAAAAAAAAAAGGAATTTCAAGAAAACTTCAGAGCATATGGCATTCTGCTGCCTTCAGAGGGTGGTTGGATGGGACCCGCAGTGCACATGAAGAGGAGGCATGATTTAAAAGGAAGCTGTTGGAGTAGTGTGTTGCAAATAAAATCTAAGCAGGCACTTTGCAATTCACTTCTCTGTTTCTATTTTTTCCTGGTGCTGTATTGCTGCCTTTCATTCCCAAACACTATAAATGTTCCTTGCCAGCTTTATATTCTAAATCCTAACTCCATCGTGTTCTCTCCAAGAATCTGACACCTACTTCTCCTGGTGCATGGGCAAGAAGGTAAGTGAGGGGGTGGGAGGGTGGTCTGCACCTGTGCAAATGTGTCACTCACTCTCATTTTTATCCATCATCTCATCCCCGAATGGCAGCATGGGGATAAAATGACCTCTAAATCCTTCCGGTCCTACTGCGATTGTGTTTGACTCTGGTTTGGACCCATCAGGTTCGACCCATGTCCATGTCCAATTGTTGATTAAAGCATCCCACTCCAGGCAGTGATTCCGACTGGAATCAGACAACGAATGGGTCAGGGCTGCCTGTCACTACTTGTGCCAATTAAGCAGAGACAGGGTTGAGTCATATATGAGAGTTTATCACAATACTGCCAGCAGTATGGGACAGCAGCAGGTCATCCACAAAAATCTGCTCAACGCCCCTCCTCCCCCCAAGCCAGCTACTTATATTGGGTAGAAGGACAAAGATTACACGGGAAAGTAGGAATTACAGATATAGGGAAGTAGACAAGGTGTAATGGCTACAGGTTACAGGCAATGTGGGCCTGGACTCACAAAAGACGGACACCTCTGGGACTGGCAACAAGGTTGTAAATCTTTCCATGATGATGGGCAGTTCTCAGAAAAGGAGAATGGACCGCATTTCTGGGGCTACAGCTCCCAGCCAGCTCAGATGTGCTTTCTTTAATCAGAACAGAACCATCAGGGTTAACAGCAGGACTAATATTTCTTATAGCTCGTCCCCACTATTCAATTTCTGACCCCAGCAAAAGGAGAATGTGTTTCTCGGGCTGTTGTGATGTTACCCTTATTTAGTGTGCTGATCACCAAGAGGGCTGATGTCCTAGAGCTGTCCCTGCAGACCCAGCTTGGGAAGGCTGCATTCTGCCTGGGTGGCTGGGAGGACAGGAGGCAGGGGCGTCCCAGGGACCCGCAGTCACAGCGGTGTCCTCAGCCTGGAAGCTATTAAACCCTTGGTTTTCAAAGGGAGGTCTGAGGCCCAGCAACAAAGGCCTCACCTAGGAATCTGTTAGCATCTCAGACCTCCTCTGTCCCCCAGATCTGCAGGAGTGGAGCCTGCGTATTAAGAAGATTCCTAGGCGGTTCCTGAGCACATAAAAGTTTGAGAGCCTTCAGGTAAGTGTCGCTTCAGGTAAGTGGCCCTGAATTAGCTGAGAGTCTGCTGTCCCGTGGCAGGAGGCACTCGCATCCCTGCCCCTCCCTGTCACCAGGAGCCTGGAGAGACCGACGGGAGACTCAGCGCGTCCCCGCAGCCCCCGCTCCTTCCCGGCGACGCTCCCCGGGGGCCGAGCGCCAATCCTCCCCAGACCCTCACCGCCCGGCGGTCCCCAACGAGCGGCGGCAGCGGGAAGGGAGCCGCCCCCGGCGCCCCCAAGCTCCTCCCAGGCCGGGGTGTCCTCAGACAAGCGCGGCTCCTGCCCGGAGGCAACGGCGCCCCGCGCGGGGTGCCCGGCGTCCTGTCCCCTCCCCGGCCATGGCCACGGGTCGCCGGGCGCTCCTGCTGCTCCTGCCGCCGGTGCTGGCCGCGCTGGGCCGCCTCGAGGGCTCCCGGGCCGGTGAGTGGGGCCCACGGGGAGGGATCGCACCCCGCTCGGCAGGGGGCAGGGGGCGCGGGCGCGGGGCGCTGCAGGGCGGAGGTGGAGGGGAGCTTGGGGGACCCTCGCTGGATGTGTGCCCCCACCCTCATCTGCTGAGACCTTTATCTGGGAGGGCCAGGCTGGCCTTCGGAGGGGCCGCCAGGTGAGTCGCGAGGCCCCCTTTCTCAGCCCTTGACTCCTTTGCACGCCTGCCCGCGGGTGGGAGGCCAGGGTGGGGGACCTAGCGGGGCTCAGGGGACGAATTCGGTGTCGTCCCCTCCTCCGTCCTCAAGCGCAGGGAAGTGGGGGCGCACCCTCGCTCTGCCTGTCCCCAACGTCCAGGCGCCCTGGGCGTCGCTCTCTGGCCCTGGTCTCCGATGGGTTCGCCCTGGACGTTTCCCAGGCAGCACGCTGAAACCAGACCACAAAGGGATCAGGGCGGCCTGTCACTGCTTGAGCCCAAGTCCCTGGACGCCGGGGACCCGGGGGAGCGGTGCCTCACTCCCCACAACCCTAGGGGGGGAGCTGCTGCTAGAAAACCACTTCCTGCGGCACTTGGTACTCAGGTGCAGGCAGAGCCCATGCAGAGGAGAGCTGAGTCCCCGACCCAGCGGGACCGAGGCACCCACAGTCCCCAAAGGTCTGGGCTGGCGACTTGGGCCCAGTGGAGGAGGTGGCCAGCGCATGTCAAACCCCCTGACCTGCAGACTCGCCCAGCTCTCCTGACAGGGGAACCTCACTGGCCTCTGGAGGAAGGCAGGCTTGGAATCCTTAGTTTGGAGCAGGAGCCACTTCACCCCTGAGTGGCTTGTTTCCCAGGAGGGGTATAGCTAACCGTTAGACTACTGCCCCACCTGGTGGGCAGCTCAGCGGTGGCAGGAGCCCTGGCTCTGTGGGGTCTGGGGGCACCTCTCCGGAAAAGGGATGAAAGTGAGGAGGTGATGACTGGGCGTGCTTTCCCATGCCTTCCGGTGTGGAGACATCTTTATAATGTCTGATTTGGAGCCACACCGGACCACTGTGCTTTGTATATTGACAGACTATGAGAAAGCCACCATGAACTCAACACATCAATTACTATGTTTATAAATAAGTTTGTTGTTTTTTCACAGCAAGCCTCTGCCTAAATGTGGAAAGTAATATTTAAGAGCCATCTGCGGATGATGTGTAGAATCTAGATGCACATTTGGTCTCCAGACCGAAAGTCACCAGGGCAAAATATTGTTCAAGGTGTGACTCACCTAGCAGTGTGAATCTTTGAGGGCTGACTGCAATCCGAATGGGGGTCCTTCTAGAAAGATCTGCTGGAAGAGGGAGCAAAAGAATTAATGCTTTGTCAGTATGTATGTGGTGGAGACTGTGCAAGTGGCTTTGTGTCTATTTAATCCTTGCATCTTCTTTTTAGGAGTACTTATTGACTAGCCTCATTTTATAGAAAACAAAACCAAGGTTCGGAGAGAGGAAGTAACTCACCCAAGGTCCCGGTGTTAGTGAGTGGTCTAACCCCAACCCCAACCTGGGTAGCATGATGACTGAGCCTGGGCTCCCATATACGTGGTTGGTAACATCAGCTCCTCTCAGTGTCATGGTCTCTGTCAAGTTAGGTGAGATCGCCTGGATGATATGTGAGTAGCTGGCAAAGCTATCAGCTACCCATTAATAGCCACTACTTCCTGAATCTTTTATTTAAAATGTTTTTTATAAGCTAGCCTTTAAAAAGTCAAACATTGAGCAACTATGTTAAAAGCACTGTCTTAGAGGGATACATGCAAGACTAAGATGGCCTGTTATCCAAGGAGATGTATCTAAGGAATGTCCTCCCATTGTCAATAACCGTTGCATAGCGTTGGGTACCACTTTCCATTCCATGTGCATCAAGTATCCCTGGGAGCAGGCCTGCTGGGCTTCACTGCATCTTGCAGATACTCCCACTAGCATGGGGCATGGGGCTTATGTTTTCTGGGAAACAAGGAGTGCCTTTTGCTCTTTGAAAGTTAGGGCAGTGTAGTAAATAAGTACAGCCAGGCTTTCCTGGGGCTTTCCTCTGAGGACCACATTCCAGAACAGGCTTATTTGGACCATTAATCATTCAGGGTTGATAAACATAAATTCATGATTCGAATAAAGCTGATAGTGTAAGTCAATCGCAGGCAAATAACTGAAAACTTACAAATTTTGTTATCAGGCTGTTAGAGACATTCTTATAAAGATGGTATATAGGACCTAAAACTCTAATCTTATTTTAAGATGTACTTACACATATCTAGAAGTAAGCTAGACTGTGGAATCTCAGAGGGAATGTGGGGGGAGGGTGGGTGGGCGGGAAGTGGTCAACCAAAGAACTTGTATGCATAGACTAGTATGCATAACCCATGGACACAGACAATAGGGTGGTGAAGACCTGGGGTGGGGGTTGGGAGCAGGCTAGAAAGGGGTCAATGGGGGGAAAAAGGGGACATATGTAATACTTTCAACAATAAAAATTTAATTTAAAAAAAGACATATCTATCTGCACAGGTCTAAAAGTAAGTTAGAGTCAAGTACTTTAAGCCTAGACCTCTAAACTTGCAACTATTCATACATACTCTGAGTCTTCAAGATGGAACCAGAGCTGGAAATATCTGTATCTCTTTAAATAAGTGTAAATCCACCCCAATCTAATGGGAAATCAGGGAGGCAAATGGCAGTACTCAGCAACAACACCAAAACACCAGAAACATGGTTCCCAAGGATCAACACTGCTGAACTCATGTGGGTGTTAGGGTACTGAACCCCCTATTGTCCCAGGTATTAGCTGAAGAAAGATCTTCCCAGACCTCCTTTGACCGCAGCTTATCACGAAGAGGTGCTGTCTTGTACCCGAGGAAGCCAGGACCTCATGGTTTTGTTTCTTGGTCGCCCACTGCAGGTGAAGCACAGTGTAACATGACGAGGCAAGCTGCATGTGGTGACAGCTGTATTCCTGTGGCCTGGCTCTGCAATGGAGAGCGAGAGTGCCCCGATGGGACCGATGAGCAGTGTGGTAAGCACCTTCCTCTATTGCAGCGGTTCTCAACCTGTGGGTCGTGACCCCTTTGGTGGTCGAATGACCCTTTCACAGGGGTCACCTAAGACCACCCTGCATATCAGATATTTACATTACGATTCATAACAGTAGCAACATTACAGTTATGAAGTAGCAACGAAAATAATTTTATGGTTGGGTCACAACATGAGGAACTGTATTTAAAGGGCCAGAAGGTTGAGAACCACTGCTCTATTGGGTCACGTACCCGTCCATGTCTGGCCCTTACTGCTACATACCTGGCCAACAGTGACGCTGTCAGTTCTCATAGTTTTACTCTCTTAGTGGGTATTTGTAAACATTGGGTAATCTGGGTTGTTGCAGGCTTTCAGTGGGTAAAGCCAGGGATGTCTCTTTAAGTGCTGAGACCACTGTTATCAAAATAAATAGAAGGCTTGCTGGGATAGAAAATCCAGCAAAAATCTGGTTCCTTACCTTAAATTCAGGCTTACACAACTGTGGCAGTTACTCAAACTGGAAACCCTTGCCAATCCTAGTGTACACAATTACTTTTAAAAATTATTTTTACATTCAGGGTACATTTATTTGAAGCTGGGGACAGTGAAATAAGGCAGGGCCTAGGAGAGATGACGTTATAAGGCAGAGCCTAGGTGGGGCTGCTTGGTTCTCTAAAAATGTTATTGGGAAGAAATGACCCTAGGCGGGGCTGCCTTAACTCACTGGGAAGTCAGAGAAAAGGGATTCTTGGGGACGAGTTCAGGGGTTTAGCCTGGGATGAGCTGCCACTGCCCTTTGCTCCCCTGGTTGCAAGTCTCATGGGGACCCTTAGCGTTTAGGAGATGCATGGCTGTGGGGGAAGAACAGCGTGGGCATGTTCCCAGGAGGGAGAGCGTTCACAATTACTTTTATATATGATAAACTAGTTCAACTTTTATGTGCTTAGAAATTTTATACAACTAAAAAACAACTTTGCAAAATAAATACAAAGAAAGCTACAACATCATGGAAGTCCAATTAACCACGTGGTAAATGTCTTGCTGAAATAAGGCCCAAAAACTTCTGTGCTGAAAGTGCTCAAAGCCCCAGAAGGGACACATGCGCAACTGTGTACAAGGAGAGCCTCCTAACAGATGCCTCACAACCTGTGCAGTGAATATGGAGGGAGAAAATTCCTCCTTAAAGGAGCAAACCTCCCCCCAAAGTACTTGGTGAGGGTTACATTCCTTTGCTATTCCCCATGCACACATTTCTGTAATAATTTAACACAAAACCTTTGATATCAAAATGAGTAATATTACAGGTTAAAATAAAAATTATACTTGTAGAAATGCTCTGTGCTATGCCCCCCATACACTTCACCCAGTTCCCCAGTATATATATATATATATATATATATATATATATATATATATATATATATATATATATATTTTAGAGGCCTGGTGCACGACATTCGTACACTGGGGGGGGGGGGAGAACGGGTCCCTCAGCCCATCCTGCACCCTCTTGTAGTCTGGGACCCCTTGGGGGATGTCTGACTGCCAGTTTAGGTCCATTCCCCATGGGGACATCCTCCAAGGGGTCCTTAGCGCTGCAGCGGAGGCAGGAGAGGCTCCTACCACCACTGCTGCACTCGCCAGCTTTTGGCTGAGTAGCGCTCCCCCTGTGGGTGCACTGACCACCAGGGGCCAGCTCCTGAGTTGAGCATCTGTCCCCTGGTGGTCAGTGCACGTCATAGTGACTGGTTGTTCTGCCGTTTGGTCGATTTGCATATTAGCCTTTTATTATATAGAATATATATATTAGCTTCTGCCAGTAGGCATACTTAGGTGGAAATGTTTAAGGGTCTAATTAAATAAAAAACAAACAGTTCACATGATGTCTTAGATTTTAATATAGTCTCAAATGTCAAAGGAGTTCAAAGAAGTCAACCTATAAAAGCTGACCACTAGCCACCTGTGATGATTTACATTTATTTAAATAAATAAAATAAAATTCAGTTCTTTTGTCATCCTAGCCATATTTTAAGTGCTCAATAGCCACATGTGACTAATGGCCATCATTCTGGACAGCACAGATATAAAAGGCTTCCATTGTCACAGAAAGTTATACTGGACATCAGTGTTCTGGAAGAATGATGGGAGGAATGCTTTATTAACCAGCTAGGGGGCAGTCCCCTGGTAAGGTAAGAGCAAGTGACATCATCGGGGGTCACATGAATATGGCAGGAAAGTTTGGGGTTGACTCCAGTGACAAACCAGGAATTGATTTTTCCAGCTGATGGAAATAGTTAAGATGAAGCACAGATTTAGTGTCCTGACAAAACACCTCTTCTCTCCTTCCCCTTCTTAAACACCTCTGGCCCACAGAGGAAATATGCCGTGGACATCCCGGAGCCTGGCAGTGTGATGATGGGAAGTGCATATCTCTCAGCTGGCTTTGTGACGGTGTTGGGGACTGCTTAGATGGCTCTGATGAGGTTGACTGTGGTAGGTACAACTAGGTCTTATCTTTAGTCATATTCTTTGTTTATTCACATCATTGATTGATAGCCATAGTATTGGATGGAACAAGCAAGTCACTAAACAGCCTTACACCATATGTGCTAAACCCAGATGTTAATTTGTCTCTACTGTTACAGGTGACTTTTTACCCACTTCTTCATTTTTCAAAATCACCTAAAATAAAAAAAGATTATTAGACATATTGTTTTTTTTGTCTAACTTCTTTGGGGTGAAACTTAAATATACAAAGCTGTGGCCAAATCTCCAATGATTAACATCCATTTTGACTCTTGGTTTTCTATAAACAAAGCCCATGAACAAAGCATAAATCCCTAAATAAACAAGGCCGCAGTGCAGCAGTGCCATCTCACAGAGCCAACTCCTGCCTTTAGAGAGATTGACAGCATGTCCAGACCAAAAAGTCCGGTGTCCAGGGAGCTCTGAGTGCCGTGATGCTTGGGAACTCTGTGATCGCCCCGAGGACTGTGCAGTCGGGTCTGACCAAGCACACTGCCCCCGGGACCGTTGCCTGGCCGGGCAGTGGCAGTGCAAGAACAAGGTGTGTGTCATGGAGACCCAAACGTGTGATGGCATCAACGACTGTGGTGACTCTTCGGATGAGGACATCTGCGGTGAGCCTTGCTCTCCCACTTTTGCTTAAAGGGAAGGTTGTTCCAGGGGGGCTTCTTTCTGTATATTGTGTTTTAATTCCTGTGACTGAGACTAAAATCCCATATCTAAAAACAGGATGTTTCCTAGCAATAACCTAGATGTAGTTGCCCATAGAAACATACTAGTAGAGCCGTACTTGAACAGTAACTCTGCAGTGGGCACTCAAAGCATTGCCTATGTTTCCATGATTCAGTTATGGCCAATTCCCAGAGCCCCATCCCGTGTAGTAAATTATGGAAGGGAAAAACCCTCATTAAAGGGGGAAACCCCCAAAGCACTTGCTGAGGGCCATAGTCCTTTTCATAGACCACATGCACAATGTGGTGGAGCCTCCAACTTCTCGGGAAACCTCAATCCCATTCCACCTTTCCTTTCTAGAGCTAAATCTGCAGTATCGAATATATTCAGACTCTAACATTTCTATAATAAAGTATGAACCTGGTTTCTTAAGAGAATATGTCTTTTAGGGCTAGTGTTGACTGGCTTTAATTCCGTTTTAATTAGGAGTGTTTACTACTAGTTCAGTTCAGTTTTAATACTATTTCAATCTGATGCCCAGAGGTCTTAACATCTTATTGATTCTTAAGCCCCAATTCCCTGGAAACTTTGCTTAAAAAAGAAAACTTTCTTTTCTACCTAGATTTGCTTTGGGTAGTAGGCATGTTGCCATCTTACCCAGTGTAAGAGTTCTCTATTTCTACTTCCCCACAATTATCAGTGAACAAGAATGCCTACCTTCCTTCACAGCTTCCTGCCCAGAAGGCATGGTTGGCTGTGATAAAGGGAAATGCATCCTGGAATCCCTGGTGTGTGATGGGGAAGCAGACTGTGCTGACGGAACTGATGAGCCCACTACATGTGGTAAGAAACCAATTGCTTGGCTTTATAAGAGAGAGGGGAGGCTGAGATGAAAGGATCAGTGCCTTAGTCATCATCGGGGGTCCACTCTCTGAGAGAATGCTGGGGCTGAAACTCCGACACAAGCAATTACTCTTCAGTGATGGATCCCTTCCATTTTACAAGTTCCCCTGCTTGGCTGTGGTCTCCTGAGAGCGAGCAAATGCTACCTGAGTTACTCCCATGTTTCTCTCTCATTGATGACTTTGCTATTGAGAAGCAAGTCGTTTGTTCAAGACAAAATGGCCAATTCTCTAAGGATTTAACAAAGAAAAGACTGGGGAAGGCCCTTCCCAGGGGAGGAGCCACTGAGCACACAGCTCTGGTCTTTAAACCCGTGCTTCTCACTGCAAAAATCACTGCTGCTTTGAGTTGGGCAGAGAGAGCGTGGGCATCTGCCTCCAGGTCACTTTGTCATTTTTCTCATATTCTCCATCCCTCTCCCCAAATCTTGTCTCAGACCTGGACGATGAAACCTCTTTTTTTTTTTTTTTAATATATTTTATTGATTTTTTTACAGAGAGGAAGGGAGAGAGATAGAGAGTTAGAAACATTGATGAGAGAGAAACATCGATCAGCTGCCTCCTGCACATCTCCCACCGGGGATATGCCCGCAACCCCGGTACATGCCCTTGACCGGAATCGAACCTGGGACCCTTCAGTCCGCAGGCCGACGCTCCATCCACTGAGCCAAACCGGCTCCGGCATGAAACCTCTTTAGTACTGTTAAAGGCTACAAACGAAGCTTTTTACTAAAGGAACAAAGATACTAAGAACATAAACAGTGGGACAAATACAGGCTTCTGGTCCTGTGTAGACATTCACTGGGGTTAGTACATTTTTATATCATTCCTAAGGTAAGGGCTTCCAGTTGCCCACAAAGCTTAGAGAAAATAGAGAAGAGGCTGCTGGCCCCTCCGTGGGTGGACGATATACCAACACTTGAAATTGTCCAGCCCATCTGCCTAGAAAGAAACTCTTTACCCTGATTCCTGATTCCTAACTTTCCCTTTTCTACAGTCTTGCCCCACTGCCTCCGCATTCCGGGGCAAGAGGTCAAGGGGAAAAGTTATCCTTAACCAGTCTCCAGTCCTCATACAAGTAGAGGGTCATGACACATGCAGTTTATAAAATGTTTGCTCTTTACTGTGTTCAGCTGTACTGATCGCTGTCCTGTCTCCACCAGGTAAAAGCTGCTCCCTGGCCAACGGGGGCTGCGAGGGGCAGTGCAGCGATGCCAGCTGGGGTGCCCGCTGTTCCTGTGGAACCGGATGGCAACTGCAGCCGGATGGTCAGAGCTGTGGAGGTCAGATTCATTCAGCTCATCTTTTTAAAAGAAGTTTTTATTGTTTAAAATATACATAACATAAAATTTATCATTTTAATCATTTTTAAGTGTACAATTCAGTGGCATCAAGTACACTCACAGTGTTGTGTAACCATTCCCGATATCCATTTCCAGAACTTTTCATCATCCCCAATAGAAACTGTACCCATTAAACAATCACTCCTGAAGCTCCCTTTCCAATCCCCTGATAACCTCACTGGACTTTCTGTCTCTATGAATTTGCTTATATTCTAGCACGACATATAAGTGGAATCATACAATATTTTTCCTGTTGTGTCTGGCTTATTTCACACAGCATGTCTTTAAAGTTCATCCATGATGTAGTATGTATCAGAATTTATTTTTAAGGCCAAATACTCCCTTGTTTGTTTTTATCTACTCATCTCTTCATTGACTCTTGGGTTGTTTCTACCTTTTGGCTGCTGTGGATAATGCTGCTATGAACATTGGTATACAAGTATCTGTTTGAGTCTCTGCTTTCAAATCTCCTTAGTGTATACCAGAAATAGAACTGCTGGATTATATGGTAAATTCTGGATTTAATTTCACTTTTGGAGGGACTATCAAATTGTTTTCCACAGTGACTGTACTGTTTGACATTCTCACCAGCAATGCACAAGGGTTTCAATTTCTCTATTCTTGCCAATGCTCGTCATCATCCCCTTTTTGTGGGAATTGTTGACTAATAGAAAAATGTTGAATTTAACATCTTTCTTTTATGGGACTTAAGGATTTTTGCCATAGAGTAGATAATACTTGTCACTCATGGCCATGCCTAAGGTCTATGGCATGGGCAGCAGGACAGAGTTTGAAGTGAGAGCCCATTTTGTGTTTATCCTTTCTTGTTTCTCCTAGCTGACCTTCTCTAAGTCACCTAGTCCTTCAAGTCTCATTTTACCCCTTTGTAAAATGGGATTATGATGCCAGAATTACTAAACTAAATGTCATGTATCTTCACAATTCACTAGTAATCTGAAAAAGTTATGGCTGTTACTTTGCAGCTCTTGTCCATAAAAATATAGGACAATATTTTAGGCTAAAATGTGATGAGGAGGGCCGAAGATTTCTTGTCTTGATGTTTTGTCCTAAAGGGTAGATCAGCCCTGCCACCCTGAACCAGGTCAATGACCCTTGTACAATAGCTCCCTCTCTCTTCATGGATTCCACCTGCAGTCCTACCCACTTAGGTAGAAAAGATGTAAGAAGAAAGGCCCTGGTTTATTAGACAGCATCAGAGTTATATTCAACAAATACTTTTATATTAAGAATTCATTAAGAATTACAATGAGCCTATTCTAAATAAGACAACTAAATTTATTAATCTTCCATTAGAAGTATGAAGTCTGTATCTGGTCATGACCTTGGAGGGGTCTGGGTTTTGCACACATGCCCAGACTACTGCAGCCTCCTTTTTGGGTTATGGCTCATTGTAGTGACTGGTTAGCCACTGAGCTTGACTTGTAGTCATATATTGATCATTCTTCCTCAGGCTAGGAAGGCATTATTCTACTTTAGGACCCTGTGGTTTTGGAGAAATAATTTTCCCTGGCAATGCACTCAAGGAACCATGCCGGGAGCCGGTCCATCCTTGCTGTTTCAAGGGACCTGGCATATATGGCATACTGTTCTTAATATGTTTGCGCACCTTCTTGGCACTATGTGTTTTAACCAAGGTCACCTCTCTGAGAAAGGTTGTTTCCCCAGGTAGGGATTTTCCCCTGAAGTTAGGGAGGGAATAAAACCCCTTAACTAAGTGCCAGGCGGGTAATTAATCACTTTAACTACGAACAATTATGCTTAAGCTACATAATCTTTACTCCCTGGAATGGAGATAAGAAACGCCCTAACCTTTGGAATAGAGATTGATAGGATTGGAATCAACTGGTATAAATACAGATGTAACAAGACAACAGGAAACAGAACCTAGACACAGAACCTACACAGAACCTAGAGACAGAAGAACTTCACTGGAGAGAACATGGCAAAAGATCCTGGACAGAAACTGGCCACAGAAACTAGAGACAGAACCTAGCGAGAGATCCTGGCTGAAGAACCTAGAGACAGAACCTGGCTACAGAACCTGGATAGAACATGGCAAGAGAACCTGACTAGAACCTGGTGACTGAACCTGGCTGGAGAACCTGGACAGAACCTGGCTGGAGAACCTGGACAGAACCTGGCTGGAGAACCTAGCAAGAGAACATGGACACAGAACCTGGCTGGAGATCCTAACCAGAACTTCGCTGGAGATCCTGACCAGAACTTGGCTAGAGATCCTGGCTAGGCTGCTGATCAACTGAACGCTGTTTCCGTGTCTTTCCTTCTTCGCCGACTCCATCCACACCTTTGGGGACCCCTGGACCTGCTGGGGCAGAACCCCAGCAGAACCATATTCCTTCTTGCTTAAAAAAAATATATATCTCCTAGTCCTATGACTCATACTCTAAAGGGGTCCTGCCATCTGGCTTTGAGGAAATAGTTGTACCTAATTTAAATTCTGCCAGTTATACCTGTGAGGCGTAAGCCTTTTCCATCATTTTGGATGAGATGTCCCATGGCACAGTAGGTCCCAACACTTGTCATTCTGAATTAAGTTCTGGCTGGCCTGACAAGTGACACATCCCCAGCCAAGAATGTTGTTAGGGTAACATAGATCAGTATTCTGTACCAACCAAACATCTAGCTCCCTATATTGATGTTTCTGCTGAATTATATTCATATACATGGGAATTCTATAGAGACAGGGACTGTCTATTCCAGCACCTGGCACAGTGACTTCCACATAATACATGTGCAATGAGCATCTGAAAAGTGGCCCAAAGGAACAAAAATACTCAAGTAGTTTCATAGGCATTCTCTAACTTTTAGCTCTCTGTCATTAGATATAGATGAGTGCTCTATGGCATACACTCCTTGTGACCAGCTGTGTCATAATACACCAGGCTCTTACTCCTGTGGGTGCACTCAAGGTTACCAGCTCTACAATGGCACCCGCTGTCAGGTTATAGGTGAGTTCCAATACCCAAAGCAAAGCCTAGCTCCTGCTCTATTCTCAGCAGTAATTATAAATAAAAGGGATTTAGTCAGTTCACTTTAAGGTCTAGTGTTAGAGGTGACTTCATTCTTTCTATAAAAAGCTGCTATTATAATATTCCTTGGCCAATTTGAGTGTCAGTTACTATTAGGTGTCTTTAAAATGACTTACTCTATCAGCTGTACAGCTAGGTGCTCCAGAAACCTAGTCAATGTAATCTTACTTTGGCCTGTGATTCTTTAACGATGGGACACTTAATTACTTCGGCTGATATGTACAAAGATTAGAGAGGACTTCAGTCTAGATAAGGAGAATGGCTGAATCTGATTTTTTATAGTTATTTATGTTTTTAGAGAGAGATCGATTTGTTGTTCCATTTATTTATGCATTAATTGGTTGCTTTGCCCTGACCTGGGATCGAACCCAGCAAGCTTGGCATGTCAGAATGATACTTTGACTGAGCTACCCCACCAGGGCTGAATCTAAAATCAAATAAGGCAGAAAAGTTCCAAAGATTAGTTTTAATGTGCCAGAGTTCAGAGGAGGAGTTGAGACATATGATGGTCAACTAGATCTCCTTTGGATAGACCTTAGTCCAGACTTCAGGGATAAGTAGATGTTGGCATGGGAAATAGGACAGCATCTTCAGTTAAAGAGAATGGTGTGAAAGAAAGGTGCAAAGTAATGTGTCATTACTTCTCTTCTATTGCAGATGGTGCTGTGAGAATTCTCATAGCAGCAGATCGAGAGCTTGGTGTCCTGGATCAAAGAACAGGCATCTATGAGACTCTGATACCTATAAAATCAAGACCTACTTCTGTTGCATATGATCTTGAGAGAAACATGTACTTTTGGGTAGATGAATTCTTAAATATGTTTGTCCTTGGAAAACCAAAGTCTGTCTCTCTCTATCCAGGTATATTTCTTGATGTTAAGAACCTGAACTTCTTAGTGCTACTTAAACATAGTATAAGAAGCATATGCATCCTATCCAGATACCTTCCTCTGTAATTCACTTACCATGAGTCATGATAGTACATAAAATCCCAATTTGGTATAAGACTCTGTAGTGTGTATGCTCTAAAGGAGCTTTGTATAATTAGTTTAAGTTCTGGGACATGGGCTCAGGCCAAGGTTAGTCATAGCTCCCTCTCTAGGTATGTGACCTTGAGTAAGTTGTTAACCCCTTACATTGAGCCACCCTCCATTAGATGAGGGTAATAGTACATGTTTCATTGTGTAAGCATGGGGAATAAACTAGAACAGGGGTTCTCAACCTTCTGGCCCTTTAAATACAGTTCCTCATGTTGTGACCCAACCATAAAATTATTTTCGTTGCTACTTCATAACTGTAATGTTGCTACAGTTATGAATTGTAATGTAAATATATGATATGCAGGATGGTCTTAGGCGACCCCTGTGAAAGGGTCGTTCGACCGCCAAAGGGGTGGCGACCCACAGGTTGAGAACCGCTGAACTAGCAGATGCATGTGAAAAAGAGGTAGAGTTCATGACAATTCACCTGAGACTTCTGATGTAAAAATGGCTCCAAATTGAAGTCACATTCTCTTGGATTCCTTGGTTATACTTTTGCTAAGGTCTTTCTCTTTCCCTGCTACCAAGTGTGTATTGGAAACACCCTTCAGTCACTTTCTGTATCCGATTTGCCTCATTGTACAGCTTGAAATTAGAAGCTGTAGAAAAATTATGTCCAAGACTCTTTTTTAAAGCTAAGATGGGTAGCCCTAGCTGGTTTGGCTCAGTGGATAGAGTGTTGGCCTGTGGACTCAAGGATCCCGGGTTTGATTCCGGTCAAGGGCACATGCCCCAGTTGGGGGCTCGGTCCTCAGTGGGGAGAATGCAGGAGGCAGCCAATCAATGAGTCTCTCTCATCATTGATGTTTCTAACTCTCCCTCCCTCTCCCTTCCTCTCTAAAATCAATAAAAAAATATTTTTTAAAAAAGGTAAGATGGGTATAGAAGAATATAGGAACGTAATACTGTCTTCTGTGTCCCCAGAACTCAAAACAGTGAACAGTGTCTCTTTGGACTGGTTCACGGGACAGTTATATTGGGCTAGCAGCTTTGCAAGGGTCATCTGTGCTGGTTTAAGTGATGGCAGAGGCTACGTCAGAATCCTGGAAAAGGATCTTGTGCCAGAGCAGCTAATCGTGTTTCCTGTAAAGAAGTAAGTAGTGTTTCTTTGGGAATATATCCAAAATCATTGCTTACCTTAGATATTTAAGCTGATAAGAGAACATTTCAACTTTTTTTTTTCATGATGACAGGAAGAGAATTTAATCTCTATTTAATTTTTTAAATATGTTTATTTTTAGAGAGAGAGGAAGGGAAATAGATAGAGAGATGGACACATCTATGAGAGAGAAACATCATGGATCAGCTGCCTCCCACACTCCCCTCTGCCTCCCTCACCAGGGTCATGTGCCCTGACCAGGAATTGAACTGGTGACCTCTTAGTTCGTGGGTTGACACTCAACTGTTGAGCCACATTGGCCAGGCCACTTCAACCTTTTCAATCTAGTTTTCATTTTCTCCAAAAAATGAATCAATTTTGAAGTCTAAATTGAATATATGCAGTCAAACTTTTCAAAGTCTAAGAGCAAAAATCTCTAGCATTCTTAGCAGTGCAATCATATGAGACATGTATGACAGAGCTGACGGAGCCTGGCTGTTAAGAATAATGTATGTGCAACTGAGGGGGTTCTCTAACACCTGTGCTTCTGCTTTTCTCAGGTACCTGTACTGGGTAAATCGAGGTCAGAAAGGCATGAGGACTATTGACACTGCAGGGATGGATGGCTCTGATAGGAAGGTGCTTGCGGTTGTAAACATGGAGGACCCTGTAGGACTGACACTTGACCATGTGACTGGCAGGCTTTACTGGATCAGTGCATATAAAGAGGTATCGTGGAGAGGTTAGGAGGGAGAGGTAAACCCTTTTAGTTGGGACTTGGGATGACTATGGGTAAGTACAAAATTTTCTTAAGTCTCGTATCAACTCAGTGAAGCATCTTCTGGCCATGAAAACTGAGAAAAACAAGTTACAATTGACCAATATCTGGACTGTATCAGCATAGGTTGGGTGATTTAGTGGGACTTTCTTCAACACTCTATAGTCAAACTTAGCACTGGAATCTCCTGGTAGTATAGGCCATGTTCTATGTCGTACCTAGGAAACAAAACCTTTAAAGATGGCAAACCACTTCTTAAAAGCATACAGTTACTTAGCTACTTCAGTGCCTTGTACTCATATTTCCAGTTCTTAATACTGCAGTTCATGCTATTTCACTTTTGGAAGCATCAAACTAAAAGACTTGGTGGCTAAAGCATAGGCTTGGGATTCATGTTTTTAAGCCTATTACTTCTGGCTGTGGTTTTGCCTACTTATGGTGTCTCATTAATCTCTCTGAAAAGAGATAGAATCCCTACTTCAGAAGGCAGTTGGAGAATATAGTGAAAGGATTTGGTACAATGTGTGGATGCGGACAGTAAGTTATGGTAGCTTCTTGTACAACATAAATTTGCACAAGAAGCAGTTCAATACACTGGCTTTGACATTCGCCTCCATGAATCTAAGATGAGTTCATCCCTATCATGTTGATATCATGTGAAGATGTTTCATTAGTGCCCAAGAAACTGAGGTGCACTAACATTGTCAGCACCTGTTGCTCATGCTTCCCTGCTCTTATGAGATGCTCTAATCCTTCAGTCCATAGAGATGGTGAACGTGGATGGCAGTGGCAGGCACACCTTTCCTCAGATCTTCTTGGAAGATGAAGAACCAGTAGGACTAGCTGTATTTGAGAACTCTTTCATCTGGACAAATAAAATACAGCTGTTTCATACTTCACCCCACACCCCAAAGGAGAGAGTGGTGCTGCTAAATGCTTCCATATCTGCTCTCACAGTCCTCCACAAATCCCAACAGCCTAAGAGTAAGTCCAAGGCTTGCTTCTGAAATGCTTAAGAACCAGAATGCATACTTAACAGCAAGCAGAAACTATCTAAATTACTATTGTAGCCTTGTGTTGGAACTTGCCATTTTGAGGCAGAGGAAATGTTCTGGGTATGATTCCGGACTTATACAGGACTTCTCAGTAAGATGAACTAAATAAAAACGTCTACTGGGAAACTCATTCCAAGCATGTACCTTGTACTTGTCCAGCACAGTGACAGATTTTTAATGTCTGAAACACACAAAACAGGGTAGTAAGCTATTCACAGAAGGCCTAGAATAGCTTATTCACTGACAATGTCAACTGATAACAGAAAATTCAACCAAATTTATAGAAGGAAGTCAAATATTCATTGACTTTGAGTTAAAAACTTTTGTTAATCTGAAATTCTATGTCATATTCTACTCAGATAATGCTTCTTAATTGGGTCCAAGAAACTAGCCAAAGTAGACATCCTAGACCACTATTTACTTCTAAACAAGTCTTCCTATAAGCAAGTTAGACAGTCATTTTGTCTTAACTCTAAGGGAGAAGATGCTGTTTGTTGAAGTTTGATTGGCCTGAGCTTAATATAGGTAGGAATTGTCACTATCTGAGAGATAGGAGACCATGGGAGTTCAGAGGTCAGCATACCTAACCTAGACGGTAACAAGTATTTTGGTATTCCTATCATTGTTAAAATGACTTAACCCCCCTTGAGTATTAATTTTTGAACTAGTATAGATTAATAAATCTGAGATTATATCTAATCTATTTCTATTTTAAAATAGGCAGATACCGGGCATGTGCTCCAGGTTCTTGCAGCCACTTGTGTCTCCTGTCCCCCGTCCATCCCAAGGGGTATAAGTGTGTTTGTCCAGAGGGAATGTCTCTTTTACCTTCTGGTTCTTGTAGTGGTAAGTATCCTGGGTGAAATGGGCTTGGCTCAAGGAGACATGTTCTATGATAGCCCTGGAAATAATATTGCTTCCATTTTTGTATCAATCACATTTATACTGACAACTTACTTTGATAATGTTTTGTTATCAAAAGACCTTGATTAGGTGGGGTTTTTTCTTTGTGCTAAGATATGCATAACATAACATTTACCATTTTAACCATTTTAAGTATATAGTTTAGTGGTACCAAGTATATTCTCATTTTTGTGCAACCATTACTGCCATTCATTTCCAGAATTTGTCATCTTCCCAAACTGAAATGCTATACCCATTAATTAATAACTCCCATTTATCTCTCCCTTAGCCCCTGGCAACCATCATTTTACTTTGTGTTTCTGAATTTTATTACACTAGGTACTTCATATGAGTGGAATCATATAGTGTTTTTCCTTTTGTGACTGGCTTATTTCACTTAGCATAATGTTTTCAAGGTTCGTCTACATTGTAACATGAATTTTCTTTCTTTTTAAGACTGAATAATATTCCATTTTGTTCATTCATTTATGCATTAATGGGTTTGATTAGTTTTCATACAGGAAAATAAATAGCTTATACCACTCAGTTTTACATGCAAAACAACAACTAAGTTGGTATAAGAAATAAATCCTCTATAGTCTTTTTTTAAAAAAAATATTTTATTGATTTTTTTACAGAGAGGAAGGGAGAGGGATAGAGAGGCAGAAACATCGATGAGAGATGAGAGAGAAACATCGATTGAGCTGCCTCTTGCACACCCCCCACTGGGGATGTGCCGGCAACCCAGGTACATGCCCTTGACCAGAATCAAACCTGGGACCCTTCAGTCTGCAGGCCGACGCTCTATCTACTGAGCCAAGCCGGTTAGGGCTCCTCTATAGTCTTATGACTACTATGTGCTCTGACTTAAATTTGTAAAATAGTGTCTACTTCAATGTAGTCCTTCATGCTGCTATTTCCACTTTAAATATTAAAGGCTACATAATCATTGAACATCTCTATCCAAAATACTTGACTTTTTTCTACAGGACATTGAGATTTTAAGAATAAATGACATAAATGTGTTCATGTCCTAATTACCTTTAAGTAACACAATGCATAGGTAGCCATGGGATGAAATCCTGGTGTAATAAGCTGTTGTGTCAAACTCAAGACTTCAGCTTAAGTTGTATTTTGAATATTCTATGTACAGTTCAATACCCAATTAACTTTCCTTCACCTGGGCAATAGAGTTTGCAATTCTCTGTGCTGAGACTTGGGTGCTATCAGCAAGGATTTGAGGACATCACCGGATCAAATGGAGCAGCACTCCTGCCCTAATCCTCACGCTTCTGAGTTCACCTTTCAGCAGAAATTCGGAGTCAGTGCCTTGGGAAAGCTGAGCAACACTTTCTTTTGCCCAAATGACTCCTTCTCTAAGGAAGATAGGGCAGTCATGTTGCATGAACTTTATTAAGGTCCCTTTCTAGGAATGCCTCAGCTTGAGAGAGGGGCATTGCTCAAGATGGGAGCGTGGGGCTTATCTGACATAGGGGTGAGCAGTAAATCTCTCCTTTTCCCTGGTAGACTTAAAACTAGTGTTTTCTTCTGGCAAACGGCTCTACTTGTTGAAAGTTGGTTTTATGGGAACTGCGATAGAGAGAACCCTAGTTCAAGAGCATCCTAGGAACATCTATCTACTGGATATTGACTGGAAAAGAAATCTCATCTACTGGACAAGTGCCCAGGGACATCTGTTCTGCTCAACTGGCTATTCAGGAAAAAAGCAAGAGATTTGGACAGAGCATGCAGGTCAGTTGGGAGGGCTGTTTGGGATTTGTCCTTTTTTTTTTTTGGCTCTAAAATTACTAAGAACAAAAACAAAAAGCCTCCTACCTGATTCTGATCTGAATCAACCTTAATGCCAAAGAGTAGGTTTTAACTAATTGGAATATTGTGTTTCTGATTTACTCTTCTTCTTATAAGAGGAGTGCAGACTGGTAAGAGGCTACCATGATTTGGGAAGTCCTAGGGTCAGTAATAAGGTTTAAAATTTTTTTTGCTGGCCTTAAGTCTGAGTAGGATAGAAATGAACCTTAAATACTTCAATTTTGCATTACAGATTTTCTTCCACTAATTTAGAAGTAATTTGCAATGCAGATTTCAGAGAGAACTAGCAAGATATTTTCTTAATATGGTAATATATACTTTCTCTCCCCGCCCACACTCCTAAATGCCACTCCCCGACTTTAGCTCCCTGTTCTTGGCCTAAATGTAAACATCTATTTTATAAAAGAAAACTGAGACTTGAACTCTTGGGTGAATCATTTGATCTCTGAATGTGTGTGCTTTTTGTATTTTTATTTTGTTTTTTCTTTTTCTTTTTTCTCTTTGTACTCTAAGTACCAAGGATATTCTTTAGTGAAAGAAGTGCCGTATAGAACTGCATGTTACTGTAGAGCAGTAGACTCTACCCAGAATCCTGTGGGCAGCACAGTGCTGGCACTTAGGAGTTCTAGTACCTGACTCAGAGAACTTTCAGGAGAAACTGAAATGGATAGTGGTCGGTGACACTGATGGCTATTTGGAAACTCCTGATCATGAATTACTTCTTACTTCATTTAAATGCTACCTTCCCTCAGCTGACTAGCCTTTGCTAACTGGTTTCTGTGTTGCAATTATTATATCAAGGAATTGTAAGAGGCTAACAATTTCATTTGAGCTTCCTCTAGTGTTGAATATTCAGTCCCTGTGGTAGGCAGATGTGCAATTATATAATATATATACTAGAGGCCTGGTGCATGAAATTCATGTGTAGGAGGGGTCTCTAGGCCTGGTTGGCAATCAGGGCCGATCAGGGCCAGGCCAATCAGGGCCTGCTGGCTTGGGGGAGGGTGCGGGGAGGGGCCACGGGAGGTGTGCTGGCCAGGGGGAGGGACTGTGGGAGGTTGGCCGGCTGGGGGAGATTGGCTGTGGGAGTGCACTGACCACGAAGGGGCAGCTCCTGTGTTGAGTGCACATCATAGCGACCAGTCATTCTGGTCGTTCTGGTCATTCTAGTCCAGGGGTGGGCAAACTTTTTGACTCGAGGGCCACAATGGGTTCTTAAACTCGACCGGAGGGCCGGACCAAAGGCATGGATGGAGTGTTTGTGTGAACTAATATAAATTCAAAGTAAACATCATTACATAAAAGGGTACGGTCTTTTATTTCAATAGTTTTATTCATTTCAAACGGGCCGAATCCGGCCCGCGGGCCATAGTTTGCCCACGGCTGTTCTAGTCACTTAGGCTTTTATATATATAGATGTCTTTGCCCCAAGTTTCTGGAACAGAGCTCCTTAGACCTTTTAATTCCTTGAGTGATAGGAGCATCTGACACAGAGCTCCCAAATCCTTTGGAATTTGCTGGGCAATTCTTGGTGGCTCCTGGATGAGGGTTGGTCATCACAAAGAACAAGCCAAGATTAGAAGCTTGGAACTTTCAGCCCCACTCCTCATTGTCAGGAGAGGGAGCAGGGCTAGAAATAGAGTTAATAATCAATCACACAAATGTAATGAAGACTCCATAAAAATCCCCAAAGTATGGGGTTCAAAGAGCTTCTGAACTGAGAACACCTTTATGTGCTGTGAGGGTGGCACACCCCAGTGCCCTGGGGACAGATGTTCCTGAGCTTGGCCTCTGGACGTTCCCATATATCCCTTCATGTAGCTGTTCATATGTATCCTTTATATAATAAACCAGCAAATGTGTTTTTCTGAGTTCTCTGAGCCACTGTATCAAATTATTGAATCCCAGAGGGGTTTGTGGGAACCCTGATTTACAGCCAGACAGTCAGAGTATAGGTGACAACCTGAGACTTGTGAGTGGCCTCTGAAATGGGGGAAGTCTTGTGGGACTGAGGCCTTCACCTGTGGGATCTGATGCTACTCCAGAGAGATGTGGTCAGAACTGAATTGAATTGTGGGACACCCAGCTGGTGTTACAGAATCGCATGGTGTGGGGGAATAATCCCACATGCGTGGTGCCAGAAGAATTGTGGGAGAGTAAGAGACACACATTGGGTGAACAGCTTGACTAAGCTAGGCAGGCCTCTTAAAGGTGGTAATCAGCTCAACCCCTGCTATCTAGGCCTGCTTACGGATCTCAGGGCCCCCTTACAACCCACAGAACATCAGCTTTCAGTGTCTCCTTACATCAAAGTGTACTGACATCCATGTCGTGTTAATTTTGTCCTCATATGGAACATTGAGGCTGGAAAACACTGGTGAAATTCCTAATAAAAAATGGGAAAGCTTCAAAATTCTGTTTTAGACATGGGCACATGTCTTTAAGACCTGTGTAGAATTGCTCAAAGAACATTCTGTGACTGACACTGGATTTTCAACCTTAAACCTGAGTGGAACCAAGGTTAAATCTAATTCCAGAGAGAGGACATGTTCTCTGCAGATGGCAGAGCCCAACAAAGAAGAGAAAAGCTGCACCAAGTGTGGCCTGTCTGTTCTTACTAATGTGTCAACCTTAAGTCAAGTCTTTCCTGGGCAAGAGTGACTTGAGGAATATGGGGAGAATTCAGAAGCACAATTCTAGGCAAACGCGAGGGACAATAACGGCACGCTCTCATGCTAACACCCGGGAAGCAGGAAGAACTTACAGCATATTATGTCCTGTGAGCACTGGCTTCTCTATTGCCCATGCCCTGCTACCGTGCCTTGTCTATTTGTCAGCTTCCTGGTAGTTAACATTTGAATTCTTAATAAACACCCAGGGTGTGCTGGGATATATTTAACAACTAGCTCTCTAGGGGGGAAAAGTGTGTGTATATAGACCTACATATGTTTATAATAAAGCTTACCATTAAAAAGAATATGCAATACAACTTACAAACAATGAGATATAGGACATTCTTTCTTTTAACTTTTATATAGCCAACTAATTTTCATAGATTGCTTTCTTATTCTGAATTCTTGGATCTTAGCCAATCTCTGGTTGCAGTTCAATCAAAATTTAACAAAATCCAACTATAATTAAAAGCTTGACTTCTGATGCATTATTGAGTGACTGTAGTCTGGATGTGAATGTTGTTGCTTGACACTTGTTTCCAAAAATGAGATGAAAGTGAAGCAACGGAGACTAGTTGGAGTTAGTTCATCAATGGACAAGTGACTTATTTGCAGAACTGGGTAACAGTTTTCAGATACTAGAAAAATATATTTCCTTATTTTTTGTGGTATGTAAAAATGTAATGGCACATATAAATTTAATCTTAAATATTAACATTCTTCTCTATCATTTTAAGTCTAGACCAGAAGTTGTCAACCTCTTTCTGTAAATGGCCAGATAGTAAATATTTCAGGCCTCTAGGGCACTCCACCATTGTGTCGCCTAAGCAGCCATAGACAGTGTGTGTGTGAATAGCCATGGCCACATTCCACTGAAACATTCAGACAATAAGGGCCACTGTTTGCTAGTGTCTGGTTTAGAAAACAAAACCCAAATCAAACTCCAGTGTGTAGGCTTTGCCAGTTTCTGTGGTATAAAAACTCCCACAATGCCAGATTTTACTACATATGTGACATCACTAAACCTGAGTTGGGAGGGGATGTGCAGTAACAGACCTTTCTGTAGTATTTCCACCATACAGATGCAATAGGTGCCAATAACTAAGAGCATAGGTAACCTGTAAGAAAATAATTAAGCGATGGCTTACATATTTTAGTTTTGTTTCTGCTGGAGGCTAAGTCCAGCATGTCATAATAAATTTGAGAAATCCTCAAAAGGTTGAATGGACTCTTTCAGCAGAGCTGAAAGTCTGCATGTTATTACCTGCTGCTAGAAAAGCTGAAGGCAATTCCCCTAACCTGACGATCCATTATTGTTTACCGGACCTTACCTTTGATATGTATATCTGCTTTGCTAAAGGGCAAAATGTGTGAATAAAAAGCCGTGGTCCAGACATTCAGAGAGCTTAGTCACTAGGGCTAAGCCTCCCCCAGCTCCCTCAAAATGCCTTTCAAATTTATATTTCTTGTCTAGTCTTATTCATTTATACACAGCCCTCCTCCATATTCCTGAATCCTAGCTGTGGAAAGACCCTGGCATGTTTCAAATATAATTAATTTACTTTTTAATAGTGGCTGTATTGAACAACATGCTTACAGAATTCAAGAATTTACCAACTGGCTGTTACGAGTTTGTGCAAGCTAGTCCCAGCACACTGTTCTAAAGATAATGGACATTAGTCTAAGTTTTTCATATGTCTTAACTTTAATCCTCCTAACAGCTTTATGAGAGAAGCACTGTTGCTATCATACATTTGTGGAAACTGAGGCACAAAAATTAACTGAGGCCTTATTTTGGAACAGTGTTTCAAACAAGACTGTCTAACTTGCTAGCCTAATAGTGAACTTAACTTTTATGCTATCTTGCATCCCACAGTGGTGACATCTAGCTTAGACCCTACTGTACAGCTAGCTACATTGGTTAGGGTAGGAGTTGGGGAGTGCTTTGTAGATTAGTGCTTAACTCTGTTAGTCACACCTAAAAAGCAACACTTCATAACTTTTATAAACTTGGCCCTTATCTGATCTGTGCCTTCGAGTTGTAGATTTCCTTGCTCTCCATCCTTTGTACTGATGACCTTCTATACTATTGTCGTGGTGTCACATTAGCTCAATTTCTGCTTTTCTATAGCAATTTCAGTCCTAGTCACTTGTCATGTGATTTATTGCTTTTCATAATTAACCTTTGAAGAAGACGGAATGTGAAGTTGCAGCTCTGCATTCAAATGCAAGCCTTGCCACTTAGATATCTAACTTATAAAATGCAATGAGCATCTTACCATGCCAGGTGGTTGTAGGATTAAATGAGCTCAGATGACAGACATGATGTTGGAACCAGAGTAGGCGTGATGGGAAGTAATCACACAAACACGGTGTGAGGCTTGTTAGAGAATGGTCTTTGCACCATTCTATCCTTGACCCAAAACTTAAGAAACGACATTTGAGTGCCCTTTTTAATTGGACTTATTTTCCTCCTTACAGTCTGCTCAGCAAATGTGGACATATCAACTGGGAACTTGTTCTGGCTGCCCTGTGATAGAAGTATTATTCAGAAGACTAGAATTACTGGCCCTCACACACAGACTCTCTACAGAACGAGCAGCATTATACTTCATCTTCTTCTCGATTGGCCAAGGAGGGTCCTCTACTGGGTAGAAAGTGGAAAACACTTGCAAAGTATGACCCTTGATGGCAAAAGCAGACAGGAAGTCTGGAGAGGCACCTGGATGGCGGACACTCAAATGACCTTAGACCTCGGCTCATCCAGCATCCTCTGGACCACCAAAGAACAAGGTAAGCACCACACAACCAGTGCAGCTGGAAGAAGCTGGAGGGGATGAGTGAGATCTTGCTTTTAGTAGGATTGTTCCAGTTATTCTTAGAACTAGCTAAACTATAAGCTCAAATTCTGATTTTCATAGTCAAAGGTTGGATACGAGTCACTTACATCAAACTCAGTTCTCACCTATAAGTCTAGACTTAGGATTTAAAAAGGAAAACTTCATAAATAGCATACTTAATAGCTTTTTGCAGTTTTCAAAATTTGTTTCTATTTCTATAAGAAGAAGTAATGGAACCAAACTTCCATTGCAAATGAAAGACAGGTGCTTCAGTTATAACTTGGTAACAGGTACAAGTTACACCGTGTAGCCAAATTTAATAGTCTTCCCACTGAAAAGCCATCTGCGAGGCCTGGCAGCTGCGTGCTGATGACCCGTCGTTTAGTGCACACATGGAAGATGATAAAGTCCCATCTGATGTGCCCACATGGCAGACCTACGCTGCAATCTTCCCTGGAACTTTAAATACTTTTTGGACCATCTTTAACTATGAACCAACAAAGCTTAATAGAAAGAATCTGTGCTTATTTTCAATTTGGGTTCACTGAACCTCAATCAAATCATGCCCCACAGGTTATTTGTGCTATATCAGCTTGTAAGAACTCGACTCTTTCCTAGGGTTGCAAAGTCTAAGTCTCCTAAAAAATAGAACATATACTTTGAACAAGACCTGGAGCGACAGCATTATTGCTGCCCATGAGCCCTACCTGGTGACGATGGATGGAGCAGCGCTTGTGCTCTGGAACAGGAAGACGCTGGAGCCCTTCTCCATGTCCAAAGAGCCACACGTAAAGAAAATAATCATCCTGGCAGAGAACCAGGAGGTTCCAGGTGAGTCTTCCTCTGTGAGGTTATTCTATGAGATCCACTTTACCTGGCTCTTCTCAGAGTGTGTGCTTTTTAAAAATATATGTTTATTGATTTCTGAGAGGAAGGGAGAGGGAGAAAGAGAGAGAAATATCAATGATGAGAGGGAATCATTGATAGGCTGCCTCCTGCACACCCCCTACTGGGGATCGAGCTCACAACCTGGGCATTTGCCCTGCCTGGGAATGGAACTGTAACCTCCTGGTTCATAGGTCAGTGGTCAACCACAGAGCCATCTGGCTGGGCCAGAGTGTTTTTATAGGATAAAATCCTGGGCATCTTTAGGTTTGTATGGCTTTTGTCCCAACCCCCAATTCAGCAGGCCTTCTCCTTAACTTGTCTGTGTCCCAGGAGAGTAAGGATCTATGGTTCTCAAAGTTGCTAAATGACACAAGTCCTGGGACGATACTTGGAGAAGTCTGCACACCACAGCCCCTTCTGAGAATCATCTTGCACATTAGCATATTAGAGCTCTTAGTCTGGCAGTAAGGACAACCATTGAATTTTCTCTAAAGCAGTTTCCCAAACTGATTTTACTAAGGAGCCCCCTCTCTCTATAGTGGTAACATCTTGTGGAGAACCCATGTGAAGCTGCCCTGGGGCTGTGATTACCAACAAAAGCAGCACTCACTTTCTGTGGAAGCTGCACCTAGTCATTCAGGGTGACCTGCCTAAGGCCGGGTCATCTTTGTTTCCTCATGTGAGCCCTGGACACAGAATCCAAAAGACTGATCTTGGATCTTGAATCTTGAAGCAGAAGAAGAAATCCTATCAGAGGAGTCTAGGGGCTCTGTTGACAGAGCAGCTAGAAGTCCGAAGGAAGAGTAGAAATGAAAAGGGACAGAAGCATTTCTCTTTCATGTACTCAATCCACAAGCTCTCATCTTCCTTTTGTCTAAACTATTTTACTTTTTGATTCGTTGGTTGGTTTAACCTGATCTTAATAAGAAGCATTGGGCACATGAACATATTTCTGAGGTGGTAAAGCGTGTCAATGAACAGTTAACTTTTTGGTAACAAATCCAATTTTGATGAGTCTACTGTGAAATCTGTTGGGTTTCTGTGATAGGTGCTGAAGAGTATGAGTTGGTAATTTTGCATAGTATAACTTACACATCTCAACAAATGAGTGTCCATGTTACACTGGCTCCTGTCCTAGACCACAGATGGTATAGCAGGGAACCAAAAAGAACAAGTCCCCATCATAGAACTTACTTTATATTTTGTTCCCAGAATATAGCACTAGGTGGTGAAAAACAATTAAGGTTAAAGTTAATAGACCTGAAAGTGGAAAACAATTGGTCCAAATTCAAAGCCAGTAGATGATGGGCGAATGTCCCACACTTAATCTAAAGATCTAGGCTCGGTTTCACTTTTCTTCCTATGAGGCAGAAAGGCATAGCTACCCAGCCATGACCTGGTTTTCTGAAGGAGGGGACAGCAAAAGCCCATCTCCATTGCTAAAGTCTAATAGACTGACTTGCTGAAGCAACTGCTTATTCTAGATCCCGGGGTTGAAGGAGCAGCCACAATCACCCCCTCTACTCTTCCTCCACCACGCCCTCTACTTTGCACCCGATCCTCTGTTCCCTGTCGGAACGGGAAGGAATGCATTTCTCGGGAGTACCTCTGCGATGGTGAGCGTGACTGTCAGGATGGCTCAGATGAAGAGAACTGCTCCCATTTGTGCAACAGACCAGGTCTGTCATCATCTCCTCTTATCAGTCTTTTGTTGCAGGTACACTGAGCAAAAGTATGGTATGAATTGCCAGGCTGTTTATTATAATCACTAGGGGCCCAGTGCACGAATTCATGCATCTTGAAAGGAACTGTGGGCTGTAAGGCTGCCGAGGGCACAGGGTCAGGTCTCTGCCCATTCTCCATGCCCCCGCCTGACCCCTCCCGCCGCAGCCCCTAGTCCCCTCTCTGTTGGCAGCCCCTCTCCCACTGATGCCGGCCCTGCTTGCACCCACTGATGGTGCGGAGCAATTGGGGCGGTGCCAGCAGCCGATCGCACCTCAGGAGCAGGGGGAGGTGGAGAAGCCCTGAGGGGCGATTGGGGCAGGCAGCCACAGCTCGCACCTGCTGGGCAGGACCACAACATACAAGAGCAAAGAATTTTTAATAACCACCAGAGGCTTGCCCTGATGACAGCGACTGACACCCCGCCTTGGTCTGGCACTCCTACTCACCTGCTCCATCATCCTGCCGCAGCCAACGCCTGCCATGTTCCGCGTGCACCCCCTGGTGGTCAGCGCACATCATAGTGACCAGTTGTTCGGTTGTTCCAATGTTTGGTCTATTTGCATATTAGAGTATTATATATAGATACTTGCTAGATAAATTATCATAGATAAAAGTCATAGATTGAATACTGATTCTGTGAGCTTCCACTGTTTCTTTGCTTCCTCAAATTTGCTTGAGGGTTCCAATATTTGTCTTAATATAGGCTGAACTATAGAGTGCCCTAAATGGACCACTTGGTAGTGTTATAACAAGTCATTAAAATAATGCAACAAATACGAGACCATATTTAAGCAGCCCAGGCTGGCTTGCTAACTTAATTGACCAGAGCACTTTATTATGGATCACCTGAGGTATAGAGTTCAAGTAAGATGTGGGCTATTTATCCTTCTAACTCCAGAATGAGGGTGAGTTTGTCTAATTTTGAACCTTCAGTTTGACTGAGTGGTGCTAGCTCTTGACCCTTTCCATTAAGGGATCTTCCAGTGTCTGGATGGAAGCAAGTGCCTTGAGGAGAAGTACCACTGCGACGGGGCTCAGCAGTGCTCAGATGGGTCTGACGAGCTGGACTGCTGGAAGCCCACTGAAGACTGCTCTGTACGTTGTGACAACAAGACCCGCTGTGTCCCTAAGAGCTGGCTGTGTGATGGCAATGCAGACTGTTCTGACAAAGAAGATGAACAAGGCTGTAGTAAGTTCCAGGAAACTTCCCTGGAGTATTTTAAGCTACATTTCAGTTGATTTTCCTTATTCCTGGTAGTTAGATTCTATAAAGTTGCTGTGGACACTGAGTTAGTGGATATGGAATCATTGCTCTCAGAAAAAAATAGAGAGTGTGGTTTCTACAAGTCTCTGGTCGCATGTTGGTCAACCAATCAATATACAACCTTGTTTTACGTGTTTCTGTTTAAAGGCAACTTTATATACATTGTTGGCTCATTAATATTGAAATCACAGCCATCAGCACTGTATCTCATGCCTGGGCAAAGCTCATCTAACACATCATTTCTCCATAAGGCACACCAAGACTGACTTCTTGCACTTATGAACACTAGCCTGAACTTCAGCACTTTGCTGGAGGCAATTATCACCAAAATCAGAGCAAAATCATCAAAAAGTCTAAAAATGTGAAAATCATGGCCCTAAAGAGACTGAAAATAGCACACTTATGCGCAGTATGGAAAATGAAACCAGAAGATAGAGCGTTGCCTTCTTCCACCTCAGCTGGAATGCATGTGTCGGACAAGTCAAATTTTTTTTTTTCTGCTTTGCTGTATCTCAGCAAATGACCATGAAAGTGTGGTAATGTTGCTTTTGGGGGTTCACAAGTAAATTTAAGCAAAGGGGTAAATGTGCAAACACCGAATCCACAAGTAATAAAGATCAGTTGTAGTTACGACACAGTTACCAGGCTAAGATGAAAGTTTCTGAGTGAGAGGATCCTTGAAGGTCATTCTATAACTTCCTTTTGCCATGATAAGATTTCCATGAATAGAAATCCAGTCTACTACCAAAATAAAGTATTATTTCTTGTTGCAATAAAATCACCCTCCCTGAAGATTTTAACTTTGGTCCTACATCTTCCTCTGGGATGGGCCATCTCATTTGTTCCCCTCATGTGTATGAGATACACGATCTTTATATTTGTTCTTCTTAATGGCATGTTTCAAAGGCCTTGACCGCATGTTGGATTAGGGTAGGAGACAGAATGTAGAGAGTGGGTAATGGAAGATGATATACTTGGATGTGGAGGCAGCTGCGTACCTAGAGGATTTGACTGCACTTGGGCTTATCCTATATAATAAAAGGGGAATATGCTAATTGACCCTCACACCATAGCAAAAGATGGCGGCACCCACAGCCATTAAGAAGGGGATATGCTAATTGACTGTCCCACCCTCAAATATGGCAGTGCCCACAGCCACGAGATGGTGGTGCCCAGTCCCCTCAGCCCCGCTGGGGTGCCTGTCTCTAAAGTCCCCCAGTCTCCTCAACCCCCCAGCCACCCAGGGCCGGCCTGAGGTGCAGGCAAGCCTCAGATGGCCAGTCACTATGAGGTGCACTGACCACCTCTTGATTTCTTTCCCCAGCCGGCAGGCTCCGATTGCCCAATGGCAAACAGGAAACTGGGGCTCGGGGGGCAGGGCCAGGGAGTGGGCAGAATGGCTGACCTCTTGGTCCCTCCCCGCAGCCAGCAGACTCCCATTGCCTGATGGCGAACGGGGAACTGGGGGTGGGTGGCAGCGGGGCGTGGGGCCGGCTGCGGGCAGCCGGGGAAGATGGCCCTGATCACAGGCCAGGCCTAGGGACCGTACCCGCACACAAATTCGTGCGCCAGGCCCTTAGTAAGAATATAAGGAGGAAAGAGACACAGAAAGGAAGTAGGGAGGCATCCAAGGTATAATTTACTTTTTAATACATACTTACAGTTTTGCTGAGGAACTGATCCTTTTTCTTGAACCAAGTCAAGCAACTTCTGTCTATAGAATTTGAATCTAAGAACATAAATTATAGGGTGTGTTGGATATTGGGAGGGAATTTCTTCTTTCATGGATGACATTAAGGTCCCGGAGGAGGATTCCACTTTCCTTCCTATCCCAGGGTCCTTCCATTTCTGGCCCTCTGCCATTGTTCCCCAGGACAGAAGGATTTTCTGGGCCAGTTTAGTAGGCCTTGTCTGGCCTAACACTACTCAAACCACCTGTCTGCCCTAACACCTGCTGGGGCTTCGTTCCCAAGATGACAGGAGAAGACCAGGAAGTCTTTAAACCATTTTATTTTCCATCAAATCACTTCTACATCTTGTTGAGTTCTTACCTAAAGCTTTTATTTTTCAGTTCATGAAAAATGCAGCATATCTGAATTTAGATGCAAGAATGGCCAATGCATATCTTACTCTCTGCACTGTGATGGGAACCGAGACTGCCTGGACCGCTCGGATGAAGAGGGCTGTCCTGTTGCCTGGCCCCAGCAGTGCCCCTCGGGGGAGGTGAAGTGCCCAAGGAGTGGAGAATGTGTGCTGACAGAGTGGATATGTGACCACGACTTAGACTGCAAAGATGGAAGCGATGAGAAGGTAGTCACTCTTCTTCCAGAAAGATAAAATAGATTTCTCATCACAACAGGAACACAGGCTTCCCTGTAGGAAACTTGGGAAAACACAAAAAGAGAGAGATCCACCATGATAACTAGCCAGAAAGCCACTTGTAACTACACCAAAATGTCCAAAGTGTTAACATCCTCCTGTTGAAAGTCAAATTTCCAAGAGGCTTTTTATTATACCTTTGCAAGTGTTAGGTCTTGGTGTCCCACTCAGAGGTAAGCTCTGAAGGTCTGCTCAGTGGTCATGATGGAGCAACTAAAGCTCCTACTCTGTGCTCGAGGCAGCCTGGGCTTGACTCCTACAGTTTGCACTTGACTTTAAGGAAGTACTTACTCCCTCATGTTGTATTTCCTCATCAGTAAAATGGGTATAAGATATGCCTTGTAGTGTCCGAAGGGTTGAGCGTGGATCTGGGGTATAGCAGGGTCACGGATGTCCCTCCCTTCCTTCCTCTTGCACATCCTGCCCCAGACCTGAGTATCCAAATCAATTAGGTGCAAAACAAGGATCAGCAAGCTGGCCTGTGCGTTAGTCGCGGTGGGAGGATTCCCAGAGGAGAGCTTCCGTGGACTCTTTTGCTTATGCCTCTTGAATGAAGACTTTTTAATTTGCCAAAACAGACTTTTCTTCCCGCTTCCCACTTCTATCTGTGAGCTCCTCGCCTAAACTCCAGCTGGCGTTTCACCGAGTGTGTAGGCTCTGCCCAGCCTTGTTGCAGAAGGGCCTTGAGAATTGTCCCCTAAATGCAGGCGTCTTCCTCCGAGAACCCCTTCCCAGGTGCTGATTGCCAGTGACACTGCGTCCCCCTCTGTCTCACAGAACTGTCACCCCGAGGAGCTGCGGTGCGGCTCCAGGCAGTGGTCCTGTGCCAGTGCAGACCAGTGCGTGCCGGACTCCTGGCGCTGCGACGGGCAGCGTGACTGCAGGGATGGCAGTGACGAGGCTGCGTGTAAGTGCGGGGCTCTCACCGAAGGGCGAGGCGGATGGCAGCTGCTCGTGCTGCTGTGAGAAAGCAGCTAGCTAGCCCCTGCTGCAGGACCTGGAACTTTCCTTCCCCAGAATGGAGGCCTCCTGCGCACAGGGAAGCGTGGCCAGGGGAGGGGTGGGTGTTTGTGGGTTTGACCATCACGGCCGGCCGGGCATCATCCTCTGCAGGCGCCCCCGAGAAGTGCGGGAGTTCTGAGTTCCAGTGCCGCTCCTCTGCCTGCCTCCACCTCAGCCTGCTGTGTGACAGGAAGGAGGACTGTGCCGACGGCTCAGACGAAGGTGGACAGTGCTCGGCGTCAGCATGCGGCCAAGCACAGTGCTCCCACACCTGCTACCCGTCCCCCCGAGGCCCTGTGAGTGCACCAGTTATGTTCCCAGCAGCTCCAAACGTGGTCTAGGCCCTAGAACAGGGGTGGGCAAACTTTTTGACTTGAGGGCCACAATGGGTTCTTAAACTGGACCGGAGGGCCGGAACAAAAGCATGGATGGAGTGTTTGTGTGAACTAATATAAATTCAAAGTAAACATCATTACATAAAAGGGTACGGTCTTTTTTTTTTTTTTAGTTTTATTCATTTCAAACGGGCCGGATCCGGCCCGCGGGCCGTAGTTTGCCCAGGGCTGCCCTAGACTCTAGGGAAGGCCGTCCCTGACCGCTCCCTAAGCTCTCAGTCTGTGGCAGAGCGGTGCTGACCCACCCACCAGTGTCCCTGTGCCTGAGCTATTCTGGGCTCCTGGTGAGTCCTGTCTCCTTCCTTTCCTGTCTGGTGATTTCTGCAACCCTACCAACCAGCCACCCCAAACTCTACCACCACGGTCCTTCCCACCCCAGCTGTGAGCTCGGGGCCACACTTGGGGCTAAGCAAGACGTTTCTGTGGTTGTCCCAAGAGCCAAGTAACCATCCCTTCGTGCTGCAGCTGGGGAAGAGGAGTACCTACCCATACAGAAGTCCTTTCCGTGTGAGTCAGATGGAATGCGACCTGCCCTCAAATTAAGAAGTGCCTATGCTCTCATCTAGCATTATTAGTTGGCCGAACATAGTGGCCTTGATTCTGATGGGCAAGTAGAAGAACGCTGAGTTCTCGTGCCTGGTCGTGGTAGCACCTCTGTTGGGAGACGGCCAGTTCAGTCAGGTTGGCATGCCTCTTCACTCTCTGATTGTGCTGGGCTCTAGCTGGCCTGTGCTGAACTTGGACACCTTGTTAGCTCAGGACCCATGGTGGTGGCAAGGGTGTGAGGTGTGTGGCAGGGCTGATAGGTAGAAGAGAGTGATTGTATTCAAAATAAAGTTGGTCCTAAGAGCCATTTGAGTTGCTGACATTGAATGTATTGCCACGTGCTTTTTATAGCAAGATCGAAGCCTTTTTATCAATGTTGTACTGTGTTCGGAAAGTCGTAATGCTTTCGTCAACCTCTTTCAGATATGTGCTTGTGAGCAAGGCTTCGAGCTGAAGAGCAGCGGCGGAAGCTGTGAGGATGTGGATGAGTGCCGGAGGTCGGGTGGTCGGCCTTGCAGTCAGACCTGTATCAATACCGAGGGCTCCTACCGCTGTACCTGTCATCCTGGCTACTTGCTGGAGCCAGATGGCCACACCTGTAAAGCAACAGGTTAACTGGAGCTGGGAATATCTCTAGGCTGGGTCACAAGCTTCAAGGTCCTAAATCTTCCAGGAATAACAATAATCTTCTCAGGTCTTAAATGCTCCTGGCAGCTTTGTCTGTCTTTAGAGCAAGATTAGCAGAATCTCAAAACACTCTTTTTAAACCTCTTATTTCAGACTGAATTTGAGTTTGAAAGAATCTACCAATAAGGCATTATTATAACAAAACCATAACTGGGGCCTTGTACCCATGGGTCAGCCTTACTTGAAGCTGGAATAAGTATCTGCCTTACCTGAAGCTGGAATAAGTATCTGAAGTCCTAACAAACACTTCTTTCTTGCCCACCTACCTCCAAATATTTAGTTAGAAATGTGGTTTTCAACTTAAGCCAACCACGCCTTTATTCTAAGTATCTTCAAATGTGGGTATCAGCTTAGCCATTACATCAAGGGAAGAGCTACTTAGATACCAGATGGCTGGTATCACAGCCCTGGCGATGAGAAGGCAAAGACTACTTTGTCCTCTGATTCTGTAGCCAGTGCTGGGGTTTACTGTTTCAACTCCTTAAAACCACACTGAAAGCAGTTCTTTTTCAATAGGTACTGAACCGATCCTGCTGGTGGCCATTCAGTTTAACCTGCTTCTCTATGGACTAAGGAGCTTGAAAGAAGATATTCTGGCAGCTACAGACAAGAACCTGGTTATTTTCTCTATTGACTATGACTTACTGGATCAGAAAGTCTTCTGGACAGAGCTCGGTGCAGAAAGTATTAAGTGGATAAGCATGGACGCAAAGAAGAAAGGGACTGTAGTAAAAGGTATGCCCCCTGCCCTTACTAAATACACATGGCATGGAAAATCAAATGAGTGGCCATTAATGTTATAAACATTGGCTTAGTTGTATCTCCTCAATTAAAAGTGGTCAAGGCTTGCTAGTTGGTTGAAATGGAAAGATGCATTGTCATCTCAGTAGACTGGTGAGTAAGCCACACTATCAGCCAATGACCAATCTGAGCAATGGTCATCTTCTTCTACAAATAGCACTTTGGAGCATTTTTAAGAAGACTGTTTTGATGGAAATGCATATGCCAGTTGAAAAATTAATTAACATGGCATGCTAGCCTGATGCCTATGAACTAAAAGCTAGTTAAGAGCTATAATTTAACCTAAGTACACATGTTGAATGGTTTCCTCTCTTTAGGAATAAAGTCAGACTGTATGGTGGTCGATTGGATTGGGAGGAATCTCTACTGGACAGATGGCACAGCTGGCCAGATTTTGGCAATTCAGTTGACTGCTGTGTGGCGAGGAAAACCTGAATACACAATTGTCCTGGGTGATAACTTAAATCAGCCACGGTCTTTGGCTTTAGATCCCTTAAATGGGTGAGTCCAGGCATAACAGTGTCTGGTCAAGTCCTTTAAGTGTGTTATTCCTCCTTAGTTCTTCTTTGGTTGTGTTCACTCACCACAGAACAAGTGAACTGAAGAAACCTTATCTGACTTTATATTGTATGGTGATGTAGATCAACCACACATAGTAATTTTGAAAACTTCTGGAGGAAGTCTTTTATCTCAGTAAAGTGAGCTGTAAGTTGTTCACTTGGTAGCACACCTATACTTTCTTTTGCCAAAATAAGCAAATATACCTCTGAATAGAGAATTTTTACGGTTCTAAAATTGCAGGGGGATGGAGAATGGAACTAGATATAGTATTTAATTTACAATAATGTGCTTGGGGTTGGGAGGCAGGATAATTGTATTTTGGAATTAAACCTGGGTTCTTCATCTAGTGTCCTTTCTCTGGGAACTTAGAGACATTTCCTACTTGGCAGAGCCAAGCCCTCATTGGGATGGATATATGTATAGTTAATATGCAAAGTCTCCCCTTGGGAGTTCAACCAGAGACCGGGAGTTCAATCGCTCGCTATGATGTGTGCTGACCACCAGGGAGCAATGTGGAATGAAGGAAGGCCCCAGCCGGCAGCTGGAAGGCCCTGATCGGCCCTGATTGCCAGCCAGGCCTAGGGATCCTACCAGTGCATGAATTTTGTGCACCGGGCCTCTAGTATATATATAATGAAAAAAATAGCTGGGCTAGTGTGGCTCAGTGGTTGAGCATTGATCTATGAACCAAGAGATTGCAGTTCAATTCCCTGTCAGGGCATATGCCCAAGGTTGCAAGCTTGATCACCAGTAGGGGGCATGCAGGAGGCAGCCAATCAATAATTATCTCTCATCATTGATGTTTCTTTTTTGTTTTGTTTTGTTAATCCTTCCCCAAGGATATTTTTCCATTAATTTTTAGAGAGTGGAAAGGAGGGGGACAGAGAGAGAAACATTGATGTGAGAGAGATACATCAATTGATTGCCACACAAAGCCTCACCATGGCCAGGGATCGAGCCCGCAACTGAGGTACATGCTCTTGACCAGAATTGATCCCAGGATCCTGATGGTCTAACAACTGAGCCAAATCGGTTAGGGCTCATCATTGATGTTTCTATCTCCCTCTCCCTCTCCCTTCCTCTCTGAAGTCAATAAAAATATATTTAAAAATAAAAAATATGACAGAACAAAACTCAGGATTCAAAGGGAACCCACATTGGGTATCCTTCCTGTTTTTCTCACCTTTTCAATACCAAAACCAGGGATCTGTTAATATGGTCCTCAGCAAAATGACAGTAGTTTTGATGCAGCTAATAGCTTGTGGCCAAGAATACGGTCTGTGGTACATGTCTGCCCATGGAGCTAGCATACTTTCCAGCCCACAAAAGATTGTCAGGTTTCCTGAATATTTTCCATGGCTTAGGGACTAATGTATTCCTAGCCTTCTTACTCAACTATCATGATATTTTACCCACAAATGAGGACTAATCACCATAAAATATCAAGAAAACCTTTTACTACTTTACAATTTTGCTTAAGGAATAGACCAAGTTTAAATTTGAAGAAAAAATAATTGGGCTTCAAATCACTGTTTTAAGGGATGAATTGATGTTATTTTCTCTGAGGTAGTACTTTATCCCAAAGCTGACTTTTATTCACACAGGTTAATGTACTGGTCTGAAACTGGAGGAGAACCTCACATAGAACAAGCTGGAATGGATGGTAGCAGGAGAAAAGTACTCATCAATAAAGGTCTTGGCTGGCCAACCAGCATAGTTCTTGACCACTTGAGTTGGAAGATATTCTGGTCCGATGACAAATTTCACTGTATTGGCTCTGCCAATCTAGATGGCACTGGAATTAGTGTAAGTGTTCTTTTGGTATTAGATTTGTACAAAATGTCATGTTTCTTGTGTAAAACTCATCCCAGAAACCTCACCTTCCCCATTTTAGATGTTGCAGTTAACACAGATCAAGAGCCCCTTTTCAGTCGCTGTATTGGAGGATGAAGTCTTCTGGTCTGAAACAAAGACAAGAACAGTGCAGCGTATGAAGAAGATGACAGGCAAGAGCAGGGCTGTCCTCATCAAGCGTATTGAACAGCCTTATGGACTCAAGGTCTATAATGTACTCTTCAAAGTATCCCCCTCATTCTCCCTGAAAAGGCTACATATGTGAACTGCCCAAAGTACTAACTGGAGTGACTTCCCTCTATAATGATTAAAAAGGAAGATTTATTCACCTGCTATTTCCAAGGATTCAATAAGGTATACTGACATCTAGCTGTTTTCTTCCAGATAATGCACGAAGTCCTACAGCCCAGGTCTTCTAATCCTTGCCTGGACACTGGATGTTCTCACTTGTGCCTTCTGAGCCCACGATCCAAGGGAAGCTGTCATTGCCCGGTCGGACTCCTGCTTGCAGATGATGGCATCAACTGTGTCCCTGTCAAGGAGTCTGCCTTTCTGTTCCTTGTGTTGCCCACGGTTATCATACAGGTATTGTCCACAGGCATCCTCATGTGTCTGTGCTTGGGCTACATCCTGTTTCAGGCTGAGTAATCTGAACTCTTCATGTGCAGTTATAAATAGTAGGAGCCCTTTCCCTTGGAATATTCTTCACACATGACTTAAATTTTAGTATCCACTGTGTGCTGGGAACTATCATGACCAAAATAAAGTAGATATGAAATAAGAACAAGTTCTACTTAAAATCATTTAGGAAATACTTAGTACATCAGAACACAGTGAGATTAGTTTAATTTAGTTTAGACAATTTTGTTAAGTTGTCCAAGCACCTCTATAATGATGTAGATTCCAAATACAAACAGCTTGGCTCCATCTTAATCTGGAGGTGGAGGCAAATACATTTTGTGAGGGAACTTTTCTTAAACCATAAGGAGATAAAAGGTAGTGACAAGCAAGTCACCCCTAACTTTTAATATCTAGAGGACTTGGCATTTAAAAACAAAACAAAAATTTTGGGGTGGAAGATAGATTTTAGCTTCCTTCAGATCTTAATAGTCAAAGCTCACTTAAAGGGGAGGGTCTTTAACAGAGGAGTAAATCTTCAAAACACCCAAATTCAAGGAATTTAAAGTCCTTGATGCTCCAGGAAAGGAGAGAAATAATTGCTGTCTGCTTTTAGAAAATAGAATATTTGAAAATATGGATTTAAGTATTTAATAGGAATTTAACATTAATGCAAAATCAAGGTAATGAATTAGACTAGACTCAACTGGTACCATCCATTTAACTTTTTCCCCATAGATTTATCTGAAAAACATAGAAACTTTATTAGGACAAGCAACTTTACCAGAACACAGGGTACTTCCCTTTACCAATCTGAACCAGCTGGCATCAGTGGACTACCTTGTCCAGGAAAAGACACTCTACCTTTCAGAGTTGGGTAATGGTGATATCAGACTACTGAGGCTCAAAGAATCTGGAAAGCTTTCTTGGAGGAAAATCTTATCTGTGAAGGGGACAGTAATCGACCTTGCTGTGGACTGGTTGAGTGGAAACATATATTGGATTGACAGTGAAAACCCGCATATCAATGTAGCTTCATCCAAAGGCCAGTATTCCACTGTCTTGTTCAGCAACAATCTGTCCCATCCAACCTGTGTTGCACTCCATCCACCCACTGCAATCATGTGTTTTGTGGATCTGGGTTCCCAGGATGGTGGTGGGCGTGGTTCCAGCATCAACTGTGCCTCCATGGATGGCATCAGAAGGAAGGTGCTGTGGCAGAAATCCCAGGTCCCAGTGGGCTTGACCTTTTCAGATTCAGGGACCCGAGTCTACTGGGCTGATACTGGTAAGTAATGATTACCTCCACCCTAAATGGGAGCCTGAGGGACCTTGGCCAGAGTGAAGTAGAAATGTTCAGTTTTCTGGTCTTCAGGCATAATAACTTCAAATAGCTTTTAGGTCTGAGTTTATATTTTCTGTACCACTTTCTAAACAAATACAATCATTCCCCATCCTGAGTTGCATATAACAGCCCATAGTCATGCAATAGCTCCTTTGTGAAGGCATATTATCAAGACCTTAAAAAATATGCACGAGCAAATATTTGTGTATCATTGTTAGAGTGGAATGAATGAATGAAGAATTGGCCTTCAGAGAATGGATGAGGATAGTCTTCTCCTGGAGAGGAGGCCAGACAAGATGTAAAGAGTTGAAGGAGAGAGCACAGCTGCTTGGGCTAAATAAAATAAACCCAACCTCTCTTTCTAGGGAGAGGACTCATAGAAAGCATTCAACAAGATGGCTCTAGATACAGAGTAGACCGCAAAGGAATTCAGGGCCTTAACCTCTTTACATATGGCCAAAGCATGATGTTCTGGACCACAATTGATGATGGTAGGTCTGAACTCTGTATCTGATTGTCTCTGTGATCTGAATTTACTCCTGTGTCTCTAAAGCGAATCGGCTACTGCTTAGGACTGATCTCTGCTGGCGTCCTTCTTTTAGAAGAAGAGCCAAACAACGTCCCTAACAAAACATGTACGTGTAACAGTGATTCTGTGACTTGAGGGAGCTTTAACTTTTTTTGGTTATTCTTTGTACAGTGTAGTTCTGCCGGAGATTTCTGGCATTTGTATGAGGCTCTCTGCTTTGGAGGACACCTGTTATGGTAGAGAGAGAACTGGACCAGAAAATGGAACTAGGTTGTATAACTGCTCTGTCAGTTAGTAGCTAGTGGCTGTAACACCTTACCTGTAAAATGAAGACAGTACCTGTTTCAGTTGACTAAATACACATGAAAATAGTAGGTGAAATATAGAACATCTTATACTTGCAAGGTATTTCTAGTATATTCAGAGAGATTGTCGTAAATCATAGTGCTCTAATACATTGTTTCTGGTTAGAATCTAGACTTGATAAAACCGGAAAATGCACAATTTATGTATTTAAAATAAATGTGTCTCTTTATATTTTCCAATTCTGGTCCATTGACCAGTTGGGCTGGCCACATCAGAATTTCAAAGACAAATTGTCAGATCCTACCCCAGCGATGTTAATTTATTAGGTATGTGAGAAGGCCTTTACCATCTATTTTAAGATTCTCCTGGTGACTCTTGTAGCAGAGAAGCCATTTTCAGAAATGTTCTAGAACAATGTTTAAAATCATTATCCATCAATTGTATGGGCTGCATCTAAGCGTCATATATCCTAATTTCCTGTCTTTAGATATCTGGGCATATATGAATGTTCTCAACATAGCTTATTAACACCTGATTTTATTTTGGAGAAAGGCATAGGATGTTGTCTTTTATTTATCTGAAGTTTCTTCCCAGAAACATGATTTAGAAAAATACATACCTCTTCTGCAAAGCTGTTGTTCCTCAACTAGAGTTTCTGCAAACCAGTGGCAGTTTTCACATTGAGCAATAGTCTTTGCCCAGGAAGTTGTTTTAATTTCACTTTTGTTAAGGATTGTTCACTGCCTTTTGTTTCAGCCCAAATCACTAAAGTTTGGTACAGCAAGGCAGAACTTTCAGAAAACCGGTGGTTCCAAGTAGACCTGAAGATTGTGGATTTAAAAGTTTACAGTAAACTTTCTCAACAGGGTAGGTGACTCTCCAATGATTATAACAGCACTGAAATCATGGATTTCCCCATGGAGGGGATGGATGCTCCCTCCTACATTATCGCCTTGAAATATCTTTGAATTTTCCATTAAAATATTTCTCTGGCAAACTCCTATAGATCTACACAATTCCCTTGTCTTTATGCAGTTATATACAGTCTGGTTGTGGTGTATAAGTAGTTCGGTTACTTATTTAGGAAACATAGTGGTAAGTGTATTGGACTGGAATTTGGTACACTTGGGTTCTATTTTCAGTTCTATTATTGTAGGTTAATGATAATTATGGTATTATAAAAAATCCCTTTTAGCTCTAGGGTGTCTTCATTCTACTATTGTCACTTGTATCTACTTGTGATGTCAACTAATCCTTGAAATATCAACTGGGGGTGGTGCTCAGATGTTTTTCTCCACATTTCTATGGACAGAAGTGGAGTGCCTGCCTGAATTTTTTGGGGAGGATGATGATGCGCTTAGTTGAAGTAGTAAGAGAAGTGATCTGTTCCTAGTGGAGATTAACTCCAACAATGTGAGCTCACATAGTTCATCATACCTACCATTACCATGGATGATTCAGTATATACATTAATCTTAAGAGAATGCTGCCCCACTGCTTTGTTTTTGAAAGCTAACCTTTCTAGCTGATATTATTAGTAGTCATGCTTAAACTCTAAAGTCTAGACTTTGCGGGATGAACCTTTTAGAATTCTTCAGTGTGATAAATGGTCACATCATAAAAGCGATGATAATCTGTTGCTTAATTCTGAGAACCAGAAGGAGGGTCGCTGTCACCCTTAAAGTAGGTTTTATCTATACTACATGCATACCTATTCCACAATTCCTGGAATATCTTAAAAGGTAAACCCTCTCTTCTAGATATAAGATATAAGCTTTGAAGAATTATGGGAAGCTATAAATGGCTGGCTTAATCAGAGTATTCTCTCTCTCTCTCTCTCTCTCTCTCTCTCTCTCTCTCTCTCTCTCTCTCTCTCTCCCAATTCCCCCACACCCTCTAGCAACCACCAACCTGTTCTCTATCTATTATTCTTAGAGGGATCATAGAAACCATAGCCTCCATATTTTCATCTAAAGAGAGCTTTATTTGTAAGAACCTTCTAGCTCTGATGCTGGGTGCTTGGTGTGAGGGGAGAAGAGAAGTCACAATGAGATTTTGAATGAATCAGAGTTTACCTCAATTATTCTTAAGCCCATCCATTGTCTGAACTCCTAGGTTCCTATAGCCATTCTTATCCATGAAGAAGAATCACCAATCACTTGGTACCTAGTTGACTAAAAGAAATTAAGTTAATGAGATGTATCCCGTGGGGAAAATATCTGGATCCTATAACTCTGATAGTCTATTTGCAGAAGACCCTTCTGAAAAAAAATCTAAATCAGTATATTTTGGGGGGTTGGGGATTCACAGGTAGTAACAGCTGCTCAAAAGACAATGGAGGATGTAGCCACATTTGTTTACCAAACCCTGAAGGACAGACTTGTAAATGTTCCAGTGGCTACTACTTGGCTGACACAAACAGATGTATTGAAGCTGTCCGATGCTCTGCACCATTACAAGCCTGTAAGGATGGTCAGAAATGCATTTCCATGGAGCAAGTGTGTGATGGTCATGCTGACTGTCTGGATGCATCTGATGAAATGGGCTGTGAGTAGCTCCTATTCATCACCATGACTGGCTTATTTTTAGTATTATCTACTTCCTCAATATTCCTTAGGCTTTTATTCTCTAAATGATTGCATCATTATCACTGTACACTCTTTAAACTGAACAATAGGACACTTCCGATGGGGCTGTTGGATGTAGATTTGAACCCCTTGTGAAAAGCTGATGTGCCCTCTGTACTGATTTTAGAACAGGTAATGTGATAGTGAGCTCCGAAGGGCTAGACAGTTCGTATGTTGCCTGAAAGAACACTCATTTAACCTAGATTTGACTCAGTACATTTTTGATCACTTGGTGAGCATAGCCAGGGGAAGTTGGTTAGGCAAACTATTTGTCTTGTCTTGCGTCCCTCTTTTTAATGTGGATATAGCACTTTCTACCTCACAGAGGTGTTAAGAAATACAAGAGAATGTGTATAAGGCTGCCATACTAGTACTTAAATGCTACCTGTAAATGGCTGTTACAGAAATACTGTGCCAAATAGTGCCTTCATGGAACAGCGTTTTCATGGCCAGTCATCTGAGCAGCTATATCTAACCGCCATCCTCTAATTCTATAGTTCAGGCTCCAGTGATATCCAAGTCCTATAGCATAGAATTGAAGAGGCAGTGGGCTTGGTACTGAGACTGGTCATACCTAGTAAAGGAAAAGATTTGGAAAATGAATCTTACAGGGAACAGTTCTCATTACTTCTCAATTTAAATCCTCATCTTCTAAAACCCGACTGGCTGGAAGACAAATTATTGCCCCTTAACACTTCATTTTAACTAGGAAAGACAAAGACCAAAGATCAACAGTTGATTCTATGGTCTTGCCCTCCCTGTGTAGGCAGTGACTCAGAGTGGGGAGTGTCAGTGAGTGAGACATTTATCACCCTCATCACCTGGTTTTAAAGCCAAACCAGAAATCTAACATACCTTCCCTTGCTCTCCCATCCCTTGTGACCTAGGCCCAAGAGTTACCTCTTTTCCTTAATAATGATTTCACTCTGACTTTTACATAACTTGTTTTGGAGGGGGTGGTACTGGGTGCATAAAGTTAGATTGGCTTCCTCTGGATATACCTTACCATGAGGTACCCTAAACTGTCCAGGATTGGAAACACGCCTGTGGACCAGCTTAAGAAAGAGGCAAGAATAGTTTCATTGCTAATATTTACTTTGGTCTTAGTGTTCACATGAGGAATAACACTTGTGCCAACAATGACAGAGAATATGGTGAAGTGCCTTAAACACAAAGTTAACTTCAGATTCCTCTGTGGTTAGAAGCACCCTGTTGTCTACTGCCTGCCTAATGCGTGCCCCTCCTACCACCACCATGGAATCTGGTTCAATACTTGCGACTTGTAGATCCTGCTAAAACCTATAGTTTACTTGAACTCAAAAAGTTTTAAATACTTATATACTTACATTATATATATATATTTTATTGATTTTTTATAAAGAGAAAGTGAGAGGGATAGAGAGTCAGAAACATCGATGAGAGAGAAACATTGATCAGCTGCCTCCTACACACTCCCTGCTGGGTATGTGCCAGCAACCAAGGTACATGTCCTGGACCGGAATCGAACCTGGGACCCTTCAGTCCACAGGCCGACACTCTATCCACTGAGCCAACCCGGTTAGGGCTATATATTTACATTTTAAAGAAAATCTTTCTAGCCTATACATTTACTATTCAGATCTACCACACTAATTCTTATAGAATAAAACATAGTAATTGATGGAATTTACCTTGGCTAACCTATACATACCATCATCTAAAAGTAGATGGGTATGGCCAATAGACTGTTCCTGAAACCAAACATTTTAAGTGCTGTAAGATATGCAGTTTTTAATATAAATTTCAATAGATTTTTTTATTTGGTCCCAAGTAATAGTAGTGATTTATGATTTTATAAATTCAACCATATCTGGTTTAGTCCTTTAGAATTCTTGTTCTTCTGACATATTTCTTAACAGACAAATATGTGTGTATACCCATACTCCAACCTACTGTTTTTGTAGGTGCCTATCCAGATAAAACCCATTCAACACTAACACTTGGAAAGCTAGAGGCTGGAAAAAGGGTGACTCCTAAAGCTGCCCAACCTCTCCAGGCTGCCAAGCCCCCCAACGCTAGATATCTGGGTCCGGAAGGGATGAATTATCCTGTCAGAAAAACACTGATCCCCTCGATTCCTGATAGAGAAAGCAAGATCTCAGAAACCAACGAAAGAGGGAAGCTTGTTCAGCCCAAGGACTCACAGGGGGCAAAACATCTGCCCTGTAGCAGCGATTTCTGTAATGGGAGGGGAATCTGCACCGTGGAAGGAGCGCTGAGAAGATGCAGCTGTCCCATGGAACACGGTGGAGACTTCTGTGAAGGGGCAGCGCGTGGACCTGGCCCCGGCTACATCGCCCTCAGCTTCACCATCACCTTGCCAGTTGTTCTGGTAGCTCTGGGAGCATTTGTGTATTTCAGAAAAGAACGTGAGCGAAAACGGTGAGCAGCTCTTAATGTCCTGATGGGAGAGTTTTATTCCCAAGAAGTTGCTTCTAAAATAAGATGAATGGGGTTGGAGGTAGGAGTCCACTCTAGAAATGTGTCCTCTGAGAAAGGCTTGAGGTGATGAAGCAGCCTCCCCTGTTAGATGACCTGAAAAAAAATAATTGGGACCATCTTTTTGAGTGATTTCTGGGGCAGATACATCTGCCTCAGCAGTTGTCAGTGGCACAATCTCAGGGATGAAGTGAGGAGATTCCCCACCAATGAGGCAGAGCTGGTGCCAATGATTTTTGGAGGAAGAATTTGTTAGTAGAGGTGTATTAGTTTGCTTGGGCTGCCATAACAAATACCACAGAGTGGGGTATTAAACAACAGCAATGTATCTTCTCACAGTTTTGGAGGCTGGAAGCCTAGAATGAATGTATCAGTGGGTTGGTTTCTTCTGAGGCTGAGGGCTGGCTTCTCCTGGAATTGTAGATGCAGGCTGCTCTGTGTCTTCCATGGTTTTTCCTCTGCGCATGGCTGTGTCCTGATCTCCTCTTCTCGGACACCAGTCATATTAGATTAGGGCCCAAACTAATGACCTCCTTTTAATATAATTACTTCTTTAAAGACTCTCTTTGCAAATGTGACTACAGTCTAAGTGGAGATTATGACTTTGACATATGAATTTGGAAGAGACACCACTCAGCCCATAATAGGAGGTGAAATAAAGAAACTCAGGAAAGATTTAAAGCAAAAACATTGTTTTGTCAAAGAGCTAGAGAGTCACTACATTAAAGAAACAAACAAGAATAACAAAAATCACGATTTAAATGGACACAGACACTGGGGCGGTGGGGGCTTGCCCCGGGTGGGAATGCCTGGCAGCGGGGGCGGGGGGGGGTGTTAATTGGGATAAAAGAAGACATATGTAAAACTTTAGACAATAAAAAAAATCACAATTTAGAGTAGGAATGATGGCAAAATAAGCTTTAGAGTAGGGAGATATAGTAACTGAAGAAACTGATTAGATAAGTAGACATTAAATAGCCTATGTATCAAGAAATATAGAGCCCTAACCAGTTTGGCTCAGTGGATAGAGCGTCGGCCTGGGGACTGAAAGGTCCCAGGTTTGATTCCAGTCAAGGGCGTGTACCTTGGTTGCGGGCACATCCCCAGTAGGGGCTCTGCAGGAGGCAGCTGATCTACGTTTCTCTCTCATCGATGTTTCTAACTCTCTATCCCTCTCCCTTCCTCTCTGTAAAAAATCAATAAAATATATTTTTTAAAAAAAGAAATATAGAGATGACGAAAGTTGTAAAAGTTACATCTCTGCCCAGCCTTCACGTTACAGACTGAAGGAAAGGCCAAGAGAAGTGCTTGTTTTTGCCCAAGGTAGCACTGGTTAGTTAATAGCTAATGGTTAATAGTAAGATGAATGAGATGCTACCCTTGGGGTCTGATTGTCACCACATTAACTTGCCGCTTGTGTCCAGGTGCCACTTACCTGTCCTTGGATTCGGTACCCATTGCCTCCTGTTACCTAGTTCCCCTCAATTGAGACGACGTATCATTTCAGAAGTTAAATGAATGCCTAGTAACAAATAATAATTGACTCAAGAGTTGCCCATTCTAGGTTGTTTGCATTGTTAAAGAGACAATCAAAACTGTGTAATTCCTTAAAAAATAACCTTGACTAGGGCACACGTTGGCCCTTTCTAAACATTTGCCAATTCCAATTGCTACCTCAAGGAACAACTCTTTTGACTTTGTTTCTTTGATTTCTAGAAATAGTACAGCCTCATCAAGAAATTTGAACAGCCGTAAAGAACATGACCAAGAAGAAGAGAATCTAATGAGCAGTGAGACTTTTGTCAATGAGGTCTATGATGAACAGGTATGCCTGGAAGTGTCTTTGAGGAAAACAGATTCTTGAGAGAGAGCTACAGAATGACCCTTCTGAAAGATCCTAGGCGGGTGAAGGGAGGCAGTGTTAACTAGCGAATGAGGCGATTATGTATATCAAATGAATGGTCAGTAATTTGTTTTTGTCTTTAGAAGCTGTTCCATCTTTAGTTATTCAAACCGAGTGAAACATGCATGAAGTAGTAATCAAGAAATTCAGCTTTTGCCCCAAACAGTTTTGCTCAATGGTTAGAGTGTGGGCCAGTGGCCCGAAGGATCACAAGTTTGATTCCCAGTCAAGGGCACCTACCTCAGTTGCAAGCTTGATCCCTGGGCCTGGTCAGAGCATGTGTAGGAAGAAACCAATCAATGTATCTCTCTCACATCAATGCCTCTCTCTCTCTCTCTCTCTCTCTCTCTCTCTCTCTCTCCTCCTTTTCCTCCTCCTCCTCTTCCCTCCCTTCCCACTCTTTCTTAAAAAAAAAATCAATGGGAAAATATCCTCAGGTAAGGATTAAAATAATAATAATAATTAAATAAATAAGTAGTGTTTTAAAAAATTAAAAAGAAAAGGAACTTCAGCTTTTTGTGGACTTCCACAAGGAGTCCAGTCCTATTGTGGGGTGGGCTGTGGGACGTTATCAGGGTTAGTTGGAATTACTCCTGAAGTTTATAACTCCCTGTGATTTCTTCTAACTTCTGTATAGCTCAACCATCTCTTTGTTTTTGCTTTGTTTCAACGTAGTGCATACTCTCTAACTTGAACTCTCTTTTCTTACAGGAATTGTTGACCTCTTTGCAAACTGATTAATGTGATTTTTTAAAAAAAGAAGCGGAAGCAGCTCAATAAAAACTGTTTATACATTTCATTGTGTACTGTTTTAATTTCTGGAACAGTTTGTGGCCAATGGTAACTCCTTATTAAAATAACTGCTTTTTCTTTCTTTCTTTTTTTTAAAGGGCAGGAAGAGACTTTGAGAGGTAATGAATTATGTTGACTAGCTTTTATTTTTAATATATTTTTATTGGTTTCAGAGAGGAAGGGAGAGGGAGAGAGAGAGAGAAACATCAATGATGAGAAAGAATCATTGATGGGCTGCCTCCTGCACGCCCCCTTCTGGGGATCAAGCCCGCAACCTGGGCATGTGCCCTTGACAGGAATCGAAGCCAAGACCCTTCAGTCCGCAGGCAGATACTCTATCCACTGAGACAAACCGGCTAGGGCTAAAATAGCTGCTTTTTCAATCGGAGGCAGTCATCTGGTTTTGTTGGTGGGTGTTGATTTCAGTATGATCTCCATGTTACTGAGGTCACAGGTTATCAGCAGAAAATTTCTGATCCCAGTACCGGCCCAGAACTAGTCAGGGGTTCTAGATTTGAATCTTGGTTCTGACGATAACTTTGAGCTACTTAATTTCTCTGAACTTTTTTCTCCATCTTACGAAAGGCAATGATTTATCTTAAGTCTTTACCTTTCAGGATAGAGGTCAGGTTTCTACACTGCAGTAAATGTGCAAGGGTTAGTTCCCTACCACTCCCTCTCTCAAATTTTGCTGCGAAGTTAGTACTCACTTTTTCTGAAAATTTGTAAAATCAGCATTTTTCTTATGCTTTCATATGATTCTAAAACTAAGTACAGGTGAGCTACTTTTCAGACGTAGAAACTCAGATTAATGATTTGTCTGACTTTGAAGTAAAGTGGGTGGATTCTGTGGGCACAACATATGGAGTTATGGCGTGGACCAGGACTCATGTCAACTAGCTCTTGCCGGCTGGGGAAACATCCAGATGCTAATTAGATCCCATGTCCCTCTGACAGCTTGTACCTCAGCTTGTCTTCCTGGATCTACTTTACTCACACCCACATAAGGAATCAGGTCCATTGACTCTGATAGGAGACAGGTAACCAAGCAAGAGTTTGGTCTGGAATTTGATAGGAGCAACTTGGGCAAATCACTTGATCATGAAACTGTTTTCCCAATGATTAAAATGGGATTAACCGAACCTACATCAGGCCAACTGGGCATCGAATGAACATACCTGTGCGCTTAGACCTGAGTCTGACAACATGAGTCCCAATGATAATAAACAGATGGATGACAAACATGCTTTTTAACATAAAATTTTCATCCTCAAATGACTTTTTCTGAAAAATATTCCATCTTAGGCCTCTTGCTGCAGACAAGTTCCATGGGAATGCACCAAAAAGAGGCAAGGAAACAGTCCCCATGGGAGACTAGTTTCTTTAAAACACAGGCTGCTACTACTTCCTGTGAAGTTCATAAAGTGCCTGTTCCTTTGCTTAGTCATCCAGAGTGAAGTCAAAGGGCTCAAAGTCTTTGTGGAAGCGGCGAGCCAGGGTCTCTTCCTCTTCCTTGCTGATCTGACACTGCCTCCAGTCAGACTTGTCAGGAATATTAAGGATGGCTTCACTTGCCAGGACCTCCCTTCCAAACTGCAAAGGAAAATTCTTTATAATTCTGTGGAAAAGCTTCTCTCCTGTGTCAAGTTCAACATAAAAATATGTTGCTCTTGGCTGTGCAATCTGCTTGATGTCAGAGTGCTCTGGGATTTCCAACAGCTCTATCTGCTGCTCCTGTGCCTGGGTAATGAAGGCGTCTCTAATGTCATTAGTAGCGCAGTGGCTGAGTGGCACAGGCATGACCTGTAGCTGGAGGTGATGACTCTTATAATTTCTCTCAAATAGAATACATCGTTTCCCTCGACTCTTGGAAGACTTCTCTTGCTTGGATCTGGTCTAGGCCACTCAGAGTTTCTTGCAGAATGAGTCTTATGGGCTTCCAAGCATAAGGAGAAGTCCTAGACTTATGAATGAGTGTGTAGTACATAAAATAAACGGTGCTTTCCAATCAAGTGTAAAAATCCCCCTGGAATCAACCTGAGCTGAAGACCAAACGCTGGGGTTCCGCCTTCCTGGAGGCTGGGAGATGCACCAGGGTATTAAGTTCCCTCAGGGGCCCAGCTACCTATGACAGAAACCATTTCGGCACCATCGTTCCTTCCACCCCTTCTCATCCACAGGGTGAATCTTAGGTGTATCTTGCTACCTGCTCCCAAGAGCCATCCTCACTGCCAAGTTTGCCTTTGGCAGGACTGTGCCTCTCTCTGTGCAAAAGTGCATAGAAATGACACAAAAGAATCCAAGCCAAAGGCACATGTGAATGATGCACAACAGTATTTCCACCTTCTGGACACGCTTAAGCAGCTGCCGACGTCTCCCTTCCTAGTAGCCCTTGAGCTCCCTCCACCAGACTCCCAGGCTTGTGTTTGTCTCACTAGCTCAGCCTGCTTTCACATTCCAATTCCTCTCAGCCCCACCCTTCTGGTCTGCAAGCCCCATTTCCTTCTTTGCCCCATAAACACCCCCTGTTCCCTGTTCCTGGGAAAAAGGAAGCGGACTGCAGCCGAATCTTCTAGTAGGTCATGTGTGCAGCCTTCTCACCTGCTGCTTTTTTATATCTTTTACTATCGTTGGTTTCTTAGGAATGCCTGCCTAAGAGTCACCTGCCTGAATCTGCTTACCACACCCTGTTATGCTTTCCCTGTTCAAGGATTTACAAAACACACCGACTGTCCTTTTCACCAGAGGACTTCATTTCATAAATGGACACTTAAGTTGTGTGTGTGTGTGTGTGTGTGTGTTTGTGTGTGTTTGTTAATCCTCACCAGAGGATATTTTTTCCATTGATTTTTGTTTGTTTAGAGAGAGAGAGAGTGGAAAGGAGGGGGGGAGACAGAGAGAGAAACATTGATGTGAGAGTGACATATCAATTGGTTGCCTATCGCATGCACTCTGACAGGGTTAGGGATCAAGCTTGCAACCGAGGTATGTGCCCTTGACTAGAATTGAACCCGTGACCCTTCAGTCTGTGGGCTGACACTCTAACCACTGAGAAAAACTGGCTAGAGTGAATACTTAACATTTTATATTTAACTAGAGGTCCAGTGCACAGATTCGTGCACTGATGTGGTCCCTCGGCCTGGCTTGTGCCCTCTCACAATCCAGGACCCCTCAGGGAATGTCAGACTTCCAGTTTTGGCCCGATCCCCACAGGCCAGGCCAAGGGACCCCACAGGTGCATGAATCCGTGCACCGGGCTTCTAGTATGCATATAAGATTCTCGTTTAATCTCCTCCTACCCTACCTCTTTCCCTTTCCCTGTGAGATTTACCAGTCTGTTCCATGTTTCCATGCCTGTGCTTTGAGCATCTGCCCCCTGGTGCTCAGTGCACATCATAGCTGCTGGTCCAATGGTCACTTAGGCATATATATATATATATATATATATATATATATATATATATTAATAACCACCCCTATCCCTTAAATTGTAATATGTCAATTTACCTATTTGGAGCAATGACATGTTTTCAACTTATAAGAGCCTTCCATTGTGACAATCTCTTTATAAGGTGTTAATTTCTTACTTAATTTCCCTCCATCTAATACATGGAGCAGTAAGTCTATAGCAGACATTAAACTTGAATTCCTTATAAAACCTCAGGTATGGATGATGGGAGGGTGTACCAAGGTCCTACTACTTTAACTGGCTAGAGTGAATACTTAAGATTTTATATTTAACTAGAGGTCCAGTGCACGGATTCGTGCACAGATGGGGTCCCTCGGCCTGGCCTGCGCCCTCTCACAATCCAGGACCCCATTGTAATATGTCAATTTTGGGAGGTTTATGAAATTCAGAGAAACCTAGAAGTAGATCATGGAGTTTGTTGCTATCAGACCAATTACTAATTTTACAGATCTATTCATTTCCCCAGCCTTCACTGTTCACATTTCATGTTTCTCCTCTCAGCCTCATCTAATTCTTAACCTGCACTCTCAGAATATTACATTTAGACAGGCCCTCTGCTAACATCCAATCCAGTCTTCCCAGTTGTACAGGTGAGAAAACTGAAGTTCAGCGCTATTAGTGCTACCAACAGAAACTGGGCCTGGAGTGGGTCTGCCTCGTCTGGCCTGTAGTGTGTGGGTTCTTGACTTTGTGTGGGAAAAATTTCACACTAGTCTCCCTCTTTTACTTACTTTTAGAGTTTAAAGTGAAAGCAAGTTTATGAGTGAAGCAGTGAAACCAAGGTGGCCATTCCACAGACAGAGCGTCCTCGCTCCCTCTTTAATTTCTCTGCTGAGTATCTGGCCACCTTCCCTAAAATGTCGCCCTTTTCTCCAGCCCTTGACCCTGGTTTATTATTCATTTTCTTTGTATGCATCTCTCACACTAGACCGTGTGAGTTCCATGAAGGTGGGGCCTGGAATCGTTTGTTTTCCAGGGTGTCCACCAAGGTGCTGACAAAATGAC